CCTTGTATCCTCCTGCATTGTTGGCATCAATGGGCATAAATAACTTTCATTTTTAGAGTGTTACACAGCTTCTTAGAACCCATGGCTGAGTGTCCACACAAGGTTTGAAGAGTCATTGTATTTGTAAAGGGTTGAAATTGACTCCATTTGTTCACCTGCCTCAGGCCTAAGGAGCTGATGAAAGTCTGAGAGCTTGTAAAAAGAATCTGAGACTGCAGAACTCTTAGGTTGCCCAAAAAATTATGTTTTATTTTTTTCAGTTTATGAAATAAAAAATAAAACAAATCAATGCATGAATGTTTGCTGCAAATATTGTGTTTTATGTGACTTACCCTAGAGAGGCTGTGTTTACATCTTTTCAATGAAAGAAATCACCAAATGTGTTATTTGTCAAGAAGTGGCCAAAACCTTCTCATACAACTGTCTGTATGGGCCTTTTCCTGCATTCGATTTTTGTTTATACATGTAATCTGATCGATCCTGAGCCACCTGCTACTCCACAGTGCAGTCAGTCCTCATAATGGATAGATATGTGATTGTGATTGTATAAATTAGGCCAACACATACCATATGAACAAATACACCTATATATAGTTAGTATGACCTGCATATATCAGTCCATGTGTTAAGAGGAGGATTACGCTCACCTATACACGTTTGCTAACTCGTACATACATATAAATGCAAACGTACAAACACAGGGAGAAAGTAGAGAGGCATTTCAGGACAGCCTGTCTTAATTCCCAATCATCAGCACAGCGTCCAAAGTCAAAGCCATTGTGACAGCATCACTAATGAGGGACAGATTACAGGAATGAAGGGATGGCAGAGGAGATGAGGAGAGGAGTGCATCGAGACAGAGTTGGAAAAGGAGAGGAAGAGATTTAAGGAGGAGGATGAGGAGAGGAGACAGGAGGGGATTCAAAAACCTCAATCTCTGCAGACGGGCTCTCATTACTAATAAAGGGCAGATGACAGCGGGGGCATTATGGCGTAGCACTGCAGCCTCCCTATAACTGAGGGAGAGAAAAGAGAAGGTCTGATGTAAACACAAAGAACTGCACCCTCTCCTCATCCCTTTGGCCTCTGACACGAGAGATAAACAACAAAATATCATTTAACGTGTGAGAAGCGATCTGCCGACCGACCTCCCGCGTGGAATTAAGCTTTCGCTGCTACACCAGCGGCTACGATGTCATGCGAGCAGCTGGATTCACATCGAAATGCCTTTTTTTTTTTGTCGTCAGAGACTTTGTGTTGGTTTGTGGGTTGCGCCCCCCAAAATGCAAGTGATGTGCCTTTGAACAGGGCAGTTAACAGCACCACCGCTCTAATGTCGAGCTGCCCTACGGCAACCAGTAGTTCAGACTGATGGATGTGAGCTCATGTGCACGACACAGTGAAAGCACCATCTGTATTTTCTTTATCTCTGTAATAATTTGTGCCCAGTGTACGTCCACATGTTTTGGATAGAACGAGAGGGGAAGAAAGCTAAAGGAACGTGGGCCAGAAGAGAGAAAGGAAACATAATTCTTTCTGAATCATTTGTGTTTTTCCCAACTTTATTTGAAGAACTTAATTTAGTCATTTTTCAACCCAGCAGGAAACCTCTCATGGTGAGGTACATGTAGGAACATTCAGCAGAGCTGGGAATGAAATAACAAAGAGAGAAGCTGTAGAGAAAAGCAAAAAGACATGCTGGAAATATTCTGTAACACTTTGGACTAAATCATTGTTGATCTTCAGACTTTAACTCTGATGAACACAGTACGCTTCAAGACTGTCCTTACCTGAAAAATGACACCAATACAAATGCTTAATACCTGATAAACAGCTGTCGTGACTGACTGGTGTCTCTCAGAGGGAAAAGCAGAACCACTGTGATACTGCACAGTCCTCAAAAAGAGGGATTCTTACAGTTGACTGCTTTTAACCATCATCAAGATCTGTCCTTGATTCCACGATGGCACTGACAAACTGTTGTTAGTCGATGTGATCAGAACACTTTGTTTGGGAGGCAGTGAAAAACAGCATTTTTTTGGACTGACTGGGAGCGTGTGCATGTGAATATCTTTGGCTACACGGTCAGATCTGTTTCTCCGCCGTTTGATGATACTCGATGCTGGAGATCAATATCAAAAAGTGGAAAAGAATGTCAAGAGTACGAGTGTACATTTCCAAATGCTCTCTTGCAATCTGACTTCTTGCAACTTGATTAATTATAAATAAGTGAACAGGTTTTGAATGAACATAAACAACAATATTAATATCTTTCATATCAAACTGTGTTTTAAAAGCATGCAATTTTCAAACAGATTTGTATTACATCCTGTTATCTTAACAAGCTTTAGGAAGTGAACGTTTTAGTCTCCATATATTGTAGCTGAAGCGGCACTCTGCAGTGCAGAGATGTCGATGCAACAGAATAATTTAAGTGGTCATCAGTCAGGTCTCATTAGGCCGTGTTCAGACAGACAGACAACAGCACAGCATGAAAAACAGCACAGCCCCCTCATTCATTTCCATAAGGCCGGTCTCTAACACAGAGGGAAGTTTATCAGGCAAGTCTCTCTCCATTCAAACGTTATGTTTTGTCCTTGTTGCTACAGTGTGATGTTGGATCTTCACTGTGCAGAATGCTGTATGTGCAGACTTTACGTTTTTTACATTCATCTGCTGAAAGTGGAAGGTTTCTCTGAGCTCATTGAAAATCTGATTTTTGTTTAGGGGTGGGGCATACAAATAGTTTGGAAGTCAACCCTGGTCCAGTGGGATGCAGAAACCTGAAGGTGCTGGGGCACATACACTGAGAATGGACTTCACACTGAAACTTTAGAAATGAACAAAATGTGCACATTCATAGATTTTTAACGAGGTAGAAGAACTAGATGCTTTTTTAAGGATTTTAATGTGGAAATTGTACTTACAGACATGATTGTCTGACAAGCAGACTTTGGAACAGTAGGGTGCTTTGGTGGCCTTTCACATACTGTACATACTTTGTAGATTGTTCTAGTTTTTTAAGCCTCGAGACTTGGGCCACATTTTACAGAGTCAGATGAGACTTTGGAGCAGCGTGTCAGTGTTACCATTAGTGAACTACTGGTATGAATCAATGTATGTTATCTCATTTGTTTTATGTTTACTTTGAAGTTTTCTTTTCTTTGGCTGAGTGATTTGACGTAAGAGAACTGTAGGAGGAAACAGGAAAATGTATTATTATAATTCATTATTTGATGTAGAAATTAGATAAGTCTGCAATTTGCTTTGTAGATAACGGATAATATATAGAACACCAAAACAAGCCTGGAGTGAAATTTATTGGCAATAAATGCAACTGCAATATTGGAGGGGATTTTTTTTTTCTTCCGTTGAGGCCTCACAGTGGATTTATGTTGCCTGAAATACCTACTGAATGTTTCACTTTTGAGGTTGGAAAAGTGGCTGGAATTGGGATATACTGTACATAGACTGTATATATTTTGTTACACTTGGCAGGGTCACCCTCATCAAAAGGGTCATTTCTGGACTCTAATTAAGAAGAGTTGCTGAGCTTTAGGTTGGCTTCTTTTCATCTCTCTTTCCTGCCTGCATTTGTTTTCACTCTCTGATGTCCAACCAACCTCTAAATCAACCTCAGTGCTGTATATTACACAAAATTATTTCACGTTTAAACCGGAGCCAAAAACACTGAAGCTCTCCTCTCCATCGCTGAACATCAAAACCACATTTTCTATCTAGGCTAAACCATGCTTTAATAGCATGAGACAGCTATATGAGATATGTGGATATGGTTTAACCTGATATGTCATGATGCATTGTGAAATATCAAAACATTTATTCCTTGAGTTCAAACCCCCTAAATGTTTTGATCTAAAGTCCTCAGGCTTTTAAAAAGACATAAAATCTGATGTATATGTGTGTTCACAACAGGGAAAACATCAGATCTGTTGAAGAGACTTTAAAAGCTTTTTTTCTGTTTCTGAATACTTGTGGCCAAAATTCCACTCTCAAAGCAGCGATACATCACCCAGAATATTTCACTGACTCTTGTCAGATCTGGACTCCAGCGCATCAGTTCACATAATACTTCACAGTAATTATCCTGGGTCCAAATCTGAGGCTCCCAAACACCTGAACAACATTTATAGTGCGTGAAAGAGTATTCAGTCACCGTAAGCTTTCGCACATTTTTCACAATCTTCTGATGAAATGTAGGCAGTTGATGGAAGGAGTCAGAGGAGCTGACATCTTGGTTTGCCAGTTTTTTCCTCTTTTGTTGCAGACCAGCTGTTTGAATTCTCAGAGTGGACGTCTCTGGTCCTTGAGGCTCACACATTTCTGTTAGACCAATTCAAGACAATGTTATGGGATTTCAGGGCATAGTGGAACTCTGATCTAGTATTGCACAGTGTGAGATACCCAAGGTCGCTTAAAGATCCAGTGTGTAGGATTTAGTGGCAACTAGTGGTGAAGCAACTGACTGAACACAGCTTGTGTCTGTATTTGACCACCTGGGAATGAGAACGGGCTGTGAAGTGTGTAGGAGAAACTATGGTGGCTACAGAACAAAAACATATCTACAGTCAGTGTTTGTACACTTATAGCCACTGAGAGGCTGCTGTTGCATAACACAGATCTATAAAAACGTTCACTTTTCAACCAAATTAAGAAGTTTCAACCTAAATGTCTTTTGACCTGCACGTTACAATCAAGGCTTGCTGTGTAGCTGAATGAATTCTGTATCTTATGCAACATACGGAGACACATTTGTTTTCACTGTGTGCAATACGTCTGCAGTGCTTTACAATTATTACTGTGCTTACAGCATACTACACGTGCGCCTAAGGTGAGGTTATTTATAAATGATAGTACAAAGAATGCAGTTGCACAGCCGTAACCAAACACAGATGTGAGATGAGCAAAAACCTGACAAAATAAATTGCGGACTGAATCAAAAATATTTTTTACTATTTACTGTTTTCACTTTTATCTGTCAGAAAGAAGAAAGAATATAAAAGAAGGTCTTGGAAGAAAGAGGGAGAGAAAACGACTACGGGTGCTCGCCAGCGACAACGTTGGAAACTCGGCGAACGGAACAACAGACGCCGCCAGAGAGCACGGCGATCCCTGAGGATGAGGCGCACGCAGCTCACCGCGACACCTGACACATGTTGGAGTATCAGTCAGCTGACATCAGCAGGAGCTTTGAAATCAGAGAGCAATTCATTGTTTATTATGTTTCCAATCAGCCTGTATAATAAATGTATTAAAATGCACTGCCATTCACCAGAATCCTGTTTACTGGAAACTCAAAGGAACAATTAAGCAGATTTTATGACTAAGAAATTCTTGCGTTGTGATGCATGTGACCAATGAGTCACGAGTTCCCCACCCAAGAAATGTTGGAACTTGGTGGTAGCCAATAAAATAACTGTCCCTTTTTATCTGGAATAAGAACAGTTTGAGTTTCACAGAATTGAAATGAATCAGCGAATGTTTCTCTGACGTTTAGTAATTAAACATTTTCTTGTGGGTTCCAAAAGTCAGAAAATCAGACTCACAGAAATTCAGACGCAAATTAAATTTGTGCATTTACATTCAACAAAGAAATCTAAAAAAAGTTGTGATACCAACAAATTATTACAAATAGTATCAGAAATTCCAACCACTTTTCCTCTTAACTGTAGAGAAGTTCATCCATCTCGATTGTTTTGGTGTGAGTTGCTGAGTTTTGGAGGTATTGGCTGTAGAGATGTCTGACTGTACAACAACGTTTCTTTCTAGAAATCATGACCCGGTGACTCAAGAGAATCCACAGACCTTGTTGTAGTCGTGAAGGAAGCTTTTTGGAGCTTGGTAATGTTGCAGCACAGCTGAGGAGGACGCCATCGGTGTTTACATCCTGTATGAGCCTCCCATCCATAAGGAGATGCACTGTGATGTATATAAAAAAAAATAGTTCCTCACAACAAGATCTGCGGATTATCTTGAGTAAATGGGTCATGATTTACATTCTGTTGGTTCCATTATATTGGAGAGAAGGCCGACACCTTTACGGCCGATATCTCCAAAACTCAGCAACTCACAATTTAGATGAATACAAAGCACAAAACCTAAGATTAATGTTGTTGGGATCAACTGTCCCTTTAAGAAGTTTCTGTTTATGTTCAGTGTTTCCCACCAAGACTCGCTGCGTTCATCCTTAAGGTCTGACAAACGTGTGGAGTACATGTTCTTTCTCTCTTTGCAAAGCTGAAGTTTGAAACCTGCATTGTTTACATCCGTGTTTACTAGCTCGCCGTCTTCTTCTTCTTCACCGCCTGTGTTGGTGTTGGACACGTAACTGTGGCGTGTGTGTCCTCGACAACAAGAGACAAACACAATTATGGCTCCGTAGCATTAATGGTGGTCAACAACTCCACAGGGAACCTTTCATTTCTTAATCTGAACAGTTAAACTCTTCAGAAAGTCTTCAATCTGCCTCTCAAAGATGTTTGTGTGCTTCCTCCATGAACAGATAAATATTAGATGGGCAAAATAATGTGATTTACAGAATGTATAATTCAATATGATTAAATTAAAGATGACAATAGGCTTCTACTTCCAACAGTTTCTCTAAATACGGAGACGCTGTTCAGTAAAGTTGCCACATAAGTACCTGATTTCTTCACTTTAACAGCTTTTTGACTCTGTCCTTTAAATCATCTCATTAAAAATAACCCTCTTCTGGTTTGCTCTTTTTTATTCATTCAAAAATGTAGATACAGACAAATGTTGCCTATTGTGTTTCTCAAACGTCTGTTGAATTTGTCAGAAATAAGAAGGAATTCCCACACAGTCCAACTTATTGCCAACCTCACACTTTGCCTTTAAATCACATTGTAGTATTTAATTGACATTTTCGATACGAAGGGACGGTTGTATTCAGTTATTTTCAGTCTGCGTTATCTGATATTGCACAAGTAAAGCTGAGGTGGAGTGACTGAAAATGTGGGTATTCCTTTTTTTTCAGATCTCATTGGCTAGCTTCAGTTGTATATTTATCAATATTTCTCCGACTAAATGGGATTTTATTCCACGACATGAATGTATGTTTCAATAAATGTATATTTTGATGCTGCAGGCTTGGTACACTGTTTCATTTATATATTTTTACTGACTGCAAACTGCAGCTATTTGCAGACTTCATTTGCGTTTTCAAATATGCTTGAATTTAACACTGTATATATATATATGTGTGTGTGTGTGTGTGTGTGTCATTAAGATTGCGGTTTTGACAGCAGAGTGAAATATTTTCTTCTCTCACTGATTTCTTTGCTGCTCTGCGATCACTGTTCTGGTGTTTTTGTCAAATTGTAGTATTTATTTCTGACAGTGTTTCTGTGACTGTTTAGTTTTTAAAACTTTTCAGAATAAAATATATTGGCAGTTTTCACATACAAGGAATTAGACGTTCCATGTCATCCAAGAGATCATCAGACAGCATAGAAAGTTCTCTTCTGATCGCGGTGCCTTCTCTTCAGTCACTGCTTGTGCTAAATGCTTATTTTGCAGGTCAAAAAATGTCTATGTTAAAAAATGGCTAATTTTTTTCTTTCTTATATATCTAGGTTACATAGACTGTAACTGTATTTATTTTTAGTTATCCTTTATGTAGCCAGAAAGGTCACTCAAAATCTGAGTCCTGGTCAAGATGACAGTTTCACATAAAAACATTTAAATAAGTTTATTTCAATAAAAAGCAGGTCAAGTACAAATTTAAATATTATGCTGTTGAAACAACCATTGACGTTTAAAAATGTTCCCTCTTCAAGGAAAGTTATTCTACCAGTTGTAATCTACATGTAGTCTGACAGGCAAATCTCCAAATTATTGTTTTAATTTAAGATTCAGTCAATATTGTTTTAACTTTTAGGTCTAATTTGGTTAAATTTGCTGTTTGTTCATATAAAAGTTAATAAATTGAACATTAAATGCCTTTAAATAACTAGAAACCAGATCTACAGCAGCATCAGATCAAACAAAATACTGTTAGGAACCTGAAGAGAGAGGATGTGTGCAGCTTTTAATGAATCTATGACAGTAAAGTTTTCCTAGTTTTGTTTCACAGTGGTGGAATGTATATTAATGTATTTAAGTGCAATCTTGAAATACTTTTACTTGTTGCCATTTAATGCTACTTTATACTTAGACTTCATTATATTTGAGAGGCAATTATTATACTTTCTACTCCACTACATTTATTAGACAGCTTTAGTTACTAGTTACTTCCAAATTCACATTATTAATACAAAATATAATCAACAAATGAATTATTTAGTATTATTATAGATGAAGCTACAAAGTGATAATCCTGATAAACAATCTAAAATGGCTCATTCTGCATAATGATCCATTTTGCTGCTAATATTTTTTTAAATTGATGAATGCAGAACTTTTACTAACACTTAATATTTCTACATGATTGTATTAGTATTTTTTATATTAGTAAAAGATGAGAGAACTTCTTCCATCACTGCTGCCAACTATTCCAGCAGCAATGTGCTTATTAAATGTCTGTCTATGAGGAGGCTGCATTCTTATAGCACTTTAATCCAGAACCACACACACACACACACACACACACACACGTTGTATCGTTCTCTCTACCAGCTCAATCCTTTTCCTGCACTCTTTCCCAGCATGCATTGTGCAGAAAGCAGAGTAACGCATTGAACTGGCTGACAGACCACTTCAGGGTCTTCACAGTCAACAAACCTGAAATCTGACACAAAGTAAAGAATCTCCACAGTTAATAAATTACTCCTCAGGGACAAAGGAAAGTTGAAAGTCATCTTTTATTGCACAATAAAAGATCACACATACCATGTTTTGACTCATGAGATTGGTCCACATGGGAATACAGAGAGCTATAGTTACAAATAAGAAACAAAAAGAAAGGAAAAAGATTAAAAACCCCACCACTTAACTTAGTTAGCAATGACCAGGTTTCTGACTACAGGAGCAGCCAGTGATGGTCTTTTCTCCACTTTTTAGAAGAAAATCCTCTTGGATTATTTTTACGCTTGGTTGATTCTAATACAGGAGCTGTGAACAGATATTATTTAACCTGCCCTGTCTGTGTAATACTGAGCCGGGTGGTTTCACAGACATGAATTTGAAGGAGGTTACTTTTCCAGCTCGCTTTCACAGTTGGTCAAAAAATGTCTTTTTAATTAACTGTAATTATTTTAAGTTGTATCTTGCTGCTGTTCTCTACTGACCAAGTGTTGAGATTTCAGCATGTCTCTTGAAAATAAACGGGTCCAATTGGCTAACTCAAGAGAAATGGATGTAAGCTTACTGTAAATGGGAATTACAAGAATGCACAAGTTGCAGGGGGAGTCTTAAACTGCATATCTAAAGATTACATAGGGGAGCTGTAATTCTTATTATATATTCACCTCTTCTGCCAAGACAATTTCAGTGTCTGTGAAACCAGCCTGAAAGGAATTAAACCATGTACTGACACAAAGGATTTTCTCTTTTTTTGTAAAATTCTTTTTCACAAGGCAAAATAGGTTTTGATATTTTATTTTTAATTTTTTTTTTTTAAATGGAACATGAGATTTTAAGCTGTTAATCGTATTTTCCACTGTGTTCAGAATCGGAACCTCTGGATGTGTGTTCTTTATCCTATTACATAACCGGATCTGGCCTCGTTCTACAGGGAGGTCAAAGGTCAGGGTCAGCTACAAATCAGCTGGCAGGGGTTCAGTGTCTTGCTTAAGGACACTTCAGCAGGGCGGATATTTTCTAACTAGGAGGCCTGAACGTTGATCCTCTGAATAAATGAAGGCCAGGGTCCTCAAACCAAAGGCCGTAACGCAGCTAGGAACAGAGTGATGGTGGTGATGCAGGCGGTCCAAACCGGGTCTCTCATGTGCACGTCAAACAGCAGAACCAGCATGTGAAGGTTTGGTCACGTGCTTACTTGAACGAATCAGGCCAACAGCCGGTGACGAGATGGTAATTAACATTTCTCAGGCATTATTATTTTAGAACTCCAGCATCTGTCCTTTGATTCTGCAACTGGACCTGGACTTACAATCCAGTATTTCTGATTTCAAGGAAACAAAAGGAGTAAAAAAAAAAAAAAAGTTTTGTTCTGGTGTGTGGTTTCTGAAGCAGGGCACATTAACTGGCACGTCTGCTCCAGAAACTACAAGTTTTCAGTCATCTTCTCCTAAACTGTAGCCAACAAATACACAAATGTCCATTTTATAAATTTGGATCAACTGTTAGCTGCAACCTGGGTCCTATTGAATTGTCTTAGCCCAATAATCCCACTTTAATTGGATTTTTATTGTATGGCACATGTAGCTCTGTTGAGAAAATAAAAAAAGAGGTAAACTGGGGACTCTTTACCATCTAATTACGTCTAAAAAGCAGATTAGCAGGTGACAAGGGCTACAAAGAAAAGCAGATAGTTTAACATCCATGTGAACCAAAACGCTTTTGTCTTTCAGGAGTCACGTTCAAGAGTAACAAAACCAGCCATTAATCAGTCATGAGACAATGATGTAAAGACAAGAACTATACAATAAATACATTATTTATGATAAGAGATAAACGTTTACAACATTTTGAGGTGACCGTTCTGAAGAACATTTAAGTTAACCAAAAGGACTTCAATGAAAAGAAAGAACACTGTTAAAGAAGGCATGGTGTGACATGAACAGACAATACAGAGCCATCGCCTTGAACTGTTGCCACATACTGCACCTACGAGTTTGTTTCAAGTTTTTACACAAGAACAAGCCAGTCACAGGAAGTGATGTGTATACATGGGCTGTAGAGTTAAACATTTGTTTTTCAGATTATTTAATTGTGGTACAGAACAACTGGCTTCCACTTCTGATTTACTGCTTTTTTTTTTTTTTCCAGGAATCTCAACAAACACACACGAACAATCAAATACTTGAGCTGGATACATACTGTGTGCGTGAATTATCATCCTAGATGTGCTAGATACCAAACAGACGGCCTCTGCAGTAAGAGAATGCCCTGGGATTGAATAGCCATTCTTAAAGGGAGACTCTGGTATTTCACAAACTTCGTCTTATTCCATTAACATTTTACTCAACGCCTCTGTAGAGATCTGACAAACTGAACAATGGTAAGAATGTTGCTGATCAGGCTATGTACTTGCAAGGGTTGATCAACTTGAGATCATTTACCAGTCAGACAATCACAAATTGATTTAAATCAAACGCACCCCAAGGTCTAAGCTTTACACAACAAGCACAACTGTATCTTGGTTGCTACTTCTCAAACAGGCATGCTAAATCCAAAGCAAACTAAGCCAAAGCTTAACAAACATGTATCAGTATGGAAGGTCAAATTTGCCGCAATATCCACAAATACTTGCTCGATCTGCAAGAAACTTCAATTGAAGCCTGAAAGACGAATTCAAGGATTTGTTTCGGTTACAAATGTCAATTTTTTCCAACGTTGTACAAGGCTCACGCTCTTTACTCTGACTGCCACCTTACTGGAGTTTTCCAAATCTCTACTAAAGGAGTTGGTGAGTAAAACTTTATCATGAGTAATGGTCATGATGGACAAATGTATAAAATAAAACCCCAACAAATCCAGAATTTCCCTTTACTGAACAGCATGGCATCATCTGCAAATGGTGAAATTCCACAAAGACTTACATTTTCAAATGTCAATCACTTCCCCAAAGATGATGTCACTACAGAGACGTGATGTCAACACGTGCGCGAGTGGAGCCCACAAAAAGTATTTAAAGTAATTTTAGAGGCACTGGTAAGAAAACAGTCACTTTTTGTTAACTCTCCATTTGTGCTTTGAGGGATGACTGATTGAATTAACGTAGTGATTTGGACAGTGGTACCTTCGCATTACTGTTGGCTTTTGAAGATAATGCACATCACCAAGGCCGTGTATGCATACAAGCAAAGGACAAACTGAACACAAACACGATAACATGTCCCTATATGGAGATGTAACAGAATAGCTATACAAAAAAATACTAGCTAAATAAGGCATTTTACTTTGAATAATACATAATGAAACTAAGAAAGAAAGAATGTCATATTTGGTGAGAGTTTGGCAAAGCAAAAGAAAAGGATAATAAATTATATGTAGCCACAAACTTGTGACAAGGCAACAACTATGTTTTTTTCCCCCCCAACAAGAAATGTGACCTGTAAGGACGAGACTGAAGAAGAAACACAGCTCCACAACAAAACGTGTGCGCATGCATGCACACCGACACCCTCTCCCATTATCACACACACACACTCACACACACGCATAAAGGAAATACAAGACAGTACAGGAACAGGTTAACGTTCACAAAAAGACACTGTGCAAAAATAATGTTTCCATGTATGAAAACAAAACAAAAGTGAAGTCCAACGTCATAAACAGAAACATCTGACATAAACCCCTAAAATGCAGACCCTGTTCTGAAAAGACTGAATAAAACCAGCGACTTGCATCCATTTAATGTACAGTACAGTCTGTTTGATAAAGAAAACACTGGGACTAATCGCAACGCAAAAAAAACCATCGCATTTGTCAAGTATTTTTTTTATCCCAGTGGAGAAAAAAATGAAAAGGTGAAAGAAAGAAATGGTGCACTTAAAAAACATAAAACAGCAATATACAGCGATAGATTTACATATTTAGAAACTCTTAGTATGAACTGCTATTAAAACTAATCTGAGGAAAAGAAACGAGACGAAGAGCAACGACGAGGCACTCAACCCGAGCGATTCACACCGCTTTATATCCCTCCTCTTCCTGTTTTATCTGTTCCTAAAAAACAGACTATTCCCTTTCACTGGACAGATGTTGACAACGCACAGATAATATCTTTCTGAACACAGAATCCCACCCAATAAAAACGTGAGAAGAGGACAGTATGGCCAAAAAAATAAAAAAGACATGATGCTACAGGTCATGATTGCAACCATTTTGCAGCAGTCCTTTTTTTTATCTTCATTGATTGGCTGTAAGATAATTCCATTTGGGACCAAAGGGCAGAATAAAACCCCACCTCTTCTCCTCTTTTCTCCCACAATCCCTCAACCCCAGTGTTTCCAGGACAGGATACAATCTGCCTCCTACCACCCCCTGGTGGCCTGACTGAGTTCTTAACTTTGAAACTCCTGTCTTTCATTTCTTGTGATTAGGCCTGGCAGGGATAATCTCTCAAAGTGACTATGTGTGAGTTTTAAAAGAAAGATACATGATCTAAAAAGTAATGAAACAAATGAATCTCATGATTGTTCTCTGCTTTTATCAATGAAAGCAAATGAGAAGATCTTCTTGTTCAGAGTATCTGTTGCACTCAACATTTCCTGTTCTTGGTATCTGGATTATTACTCTAGTGTGAAGAGCAAATTACATTTTAACTCTGAACTTCTTTTAAAAAGAAGTTATAGCAGCAATGGCATAGAATTGATAATAAAGTTACAGTAAAAAAAAAAATATGAATAAGGAATCTAACACGTGGGGGGCTAGCAGACAATGCTATCTTACAATTAAGATAAAACTTTCATGCCTGGGATTTATTAACTTCACTTGTATTGTGCCTTTTTTGTTTTTTTCTGACTTGGCAGCTTTCTTAAATTCACTTCTATTCTTTGAGTTGCATTAAGAGGACTTAGAGAGTTTCAAAAGGGCTACACTCTGAAATGTATCTGGGCTGCTGCTTGGTAGAGTAGCTCTTGCATATTATCTCAGGTTAATGTTATCAGTATTCCCTCAGTATCGACTAGGAAAAGGCGTTTTAGTGTCACATGTTTCTGGGAATGCTGGTTCAGACTCTTGTCACCAAGACATACTTTCAGGTTAATCTAGCCTGCAAGTTTTTGAACATTGCACAGACATAATCCCCCCCAAAAATGACTCAATTAAGTGGAGAGTGCCAGAAGTCAAAATAAAAACAGTGCTCAGGTGAACAGGCTCGGTTTTCGACCTTGAACATAAGATACACACGTGCTCCTCCGCTTGAGCTTCTCTGAATTCACAAACTGTGGTGAGAAATTCGAACAGCTGTGCCACAACTCTCTTCATCATTCCTCGTGCAAACACACCAAACCAAAGCTGCAAGTCCAAAACTTTGCAACAGCTTTTCAACTTTTATAACCGGATCAATATTACCGCCAAAGCCACTCCTTGGTTAGCGCATCTGGCCTGCAGTGTGTAAGTGTGTGTGTGTGTGTGTGTGTGTGTGTGTGTGTTGCTGTTGAGAATGTCCCTCCTGACTCAGTCTCGATGCAGAATGAAGGGGAAGTATACACAGAAGATCCTTTCTTACACTAGTTTTTTTTGTATACAAGGAGGGAGTGGAGGGTGGGTGGGGTCTTGGTATATAAACAGAACCAAGTTGAATATAATCATCATCGTTATTATTAGTCATCATCATAATAAAAGTCTTTACATGGACATTGACTGACAGACACGGCACAAACTTTACACTGTTGCTCAGTCCAGAAAGAGAGCACCGGAGGAGAAAGGAGGAGAGAGCAGGAAGTGGTTGTCTCTCTTTTCTCTGCAGTTTTCTCCTCCTTTATGCTTCCTCTCCTTCCACCTGTCTCTGCTCCTCAGTGTCCTGCTTCTCCTCCTCTTCTATTGCCTCTTCTCCTGTGTCCTCCAATCTTTCCTCTTTCTCCTCTGTTGTTGCTCCCTCAAGATGGTTATGGGAGTCTGGTTCCTGGGGCTCTGCAGGCCCATCCTCTCCGTCTCCCTGTCCGGTCTGAGGCTCTTCAGTCAGAGACAGGCCTGGGTCTGGAGCCGAGGTAGAGGGGATGGAGGGGGATGAGGAGGAGGCTGGTTGGGGGGTAACACTAGCCTGAACTGTACTTTCTCTTTCTTCTACCTTTCCCGTTGCAGCTTTCTCCCTCTCCTCCTCTCTCTCCCCTTCATCACGCCCTCTCTTCCTCCTCCTCTTGGGGCTGCCTGGGGAGCCGTCTACTGCTCCAGGAGGCATAGCAGGCAGCGCCATGATGCCACCGTGCGGCAAGAACATGTGAGGGTACAGCAGGCCGTGGGACATGCCCGGGATCAGGAAGGGGTTGAAGGTAAGATGGCTGCCGGTGCCGGCCCCGAGATGCGCAGAGCTAAGATGTGCCCTGCTGGTGGAGGTAATGATGGCCGCTGCCTCTGCCCCTCCTGGTCTTTTGCAGGCTTCTGCGGCTCCTTTCTCCTCCCGGCTCCTTTCCTTTTCACCTCCAGCAGAGCCGGAAGAGGCGGCACTCTCTCTCTCAGCAGGCGTTGTCGACGAAGGGCTGGCTGCCTCAGATGTAGATGGTGCGGTTGTTGTGGTGACCTTTGCAGCAGACAATGAAGAAGAAGAGGAGGAGCTGGGGTGAGGAGGTGGCGCCGCGTGCGCCATCATTGCGCCAACGCTGAACAAGGCGTGTTGCTGGATCGCAGCCCCATGGGGGTGCGGGATGCCGTGCAGCATCATGGGTAACATACTCAACCCATTCTTGGCATCTTCTGCCGACGCTCCAGCTCCTCCCGCCTGGACGGCGGCCGAGAAACCATGTGGGAATCCAGCCGCCATGATCCCGGAGATGGGAATTCCAGGAATGCCACCACGGAGGTTCTGCATGGCCACCATGGAGTCCATGCTGCCGATTAATCCGCCGTTCATGAAGAGTGGGGGGCCAAGGCCAGATGAGGCAGAATCGGAGACAGACAGGAGGGGCTTAGGCATCTCGCTGCGAGGCCGCCGCCCACGGCGCCGAGAGCCCGGGTCTCTGTTGACTGGTTCTGTCAGGATCCGAGAGAACTTGCCCTCAGGAAGGAACCCCTGCAGGAGGAGGAGAGGAAAAGGTTAAAGGTCATGGAGTTGCTGTGTATGAGACCGTTCAGAAAGGAATCAGGAAACTCAAGGGAACAGTTAATTACAACAGTAAGGAGTAAGACGAGTAAGAGGTCATAAGAGACAAACACTGTTAAAGCTTGTTTTACTCACAGAGTGTTTGACCACATCAGCCCAATCTGGAGCTACATAGTACTCTGAGTTAGCATCCAGCCACCTGGAAAGTTCCTTTATGGCCGGAGCCATAGCACCACCAAGCTGCAAGGCAGGAAAACCAGTACAATATTACAACAATGATATCAAGTCATATAGAGGAGTTTTCCTGCATTCTCAGCTTTATGGCAGCCTGCATTATTCATGCTGACCAACTGATGATGTACATTGTGTGTGTGTGTGTTCTACCCTGCGTCCGGTGCCACGGTGCACAACAGGAACCCTCTCCTCCCCCGTCAAGGAGTTGATATCCAGCTTGGTGGGGTCTTTACAGCGATGCCTCCTCTGCTTGGGACGTTCAACAAAACCATGTAACAGACCTGCTCCAGACTGCAGAGAGGGAGAGGAAAGACAGGAAGGACAGGAAGGATGTACAGGGGGAGTAACAGAGAATCATTTTGATGTGTATCCTTAAAAGAAGCAGCTCAAAATGGTCAACAGAAAATATCAAAAAAGCCACAGATTCTGTTTTAGCTGCACACACATAACCTCCAGCACATACACTCTCCTGTCCTGCGGCTAACACCTTGCTGATAGAAGCAGTTATAGACTGAAATAGCCAAACGAAACCTCTGACTTACATGAGCAAACGCAGGGAGATCCATGCTGTAGCCCGGATTCTGCCTCAGCCACTCGATCAGGCCTTTGCTGGCTGCCTCTCTGTCGATGGCAATGATCTCTGGCTGTGGAGGTGTCTGGGTCGGGGTTGGGGTAGAAGAGGAGGACGGTGTGGGGGGGCCGGCGGGTCGCTCTGAAGGAGAGGGGGACGGCGAGGAGGTGGAGGAGGAGACTGAGGAGTGGCTGATCACCTCCACCCGGCCCTGCAGGTGGAAAGACACACACACACACACACACAGACACACAGACACACACACACACACACACACACAGGTGCAGGTGTTTTTAACGGTTTGAAATTCTGAGGAGGGAAAAGGATTTTCCTCTCGATCTTTTTCATTTACCTGATGACTTTTTTACCCATAATGCCTCAGGTGTGGTCTCCCTTCTCTCACACTGAAGCACATATAACAATAATAACAGGCCCTCCTCCTCTACCCACCTGTGTCTCTGGGAGGTGCAGTCCTCTGCTCTTGGTGAACTCAGAGTACAGTGCCTCCACGTTTCTCCTCCTCCCTCTCCTCCTCCTCAGTGAGTCATCTCCCCTCAGGCTTCCGTTAACTATTTGCCCCGTTACAGGATGGATGAGCCCGGCCTGCAGTATCCCGGCCATGTCGATTCCCACAGAGCCCGTTAGCGGAGCTGTGATGGGGGGTGGCGGCAGCTTGTGACTGCTGCCAGCACCGGCGCCGTGGTGGCCGATTCCCGGCGCAACCACAGCTTCTCCCGTCCCAATGCCACTGGTGGTGCTTATTTCTCCGGACGACTTGGTTAGATCAATGGCAGTTTCTTGCCAACCATTAATCAACATGGCTCCTGTACGGTGTGAGGGCGGGGCCACCACAGGAGTAGTACCACTGGAGCTTGTGGTGGTAGCCGTGTGGCATGACGATGCTGATTTCCCAGCTAAAACCTTGGCAGCAGCTGCAGCAGCAGCAGCTTCATAGTCGAAAGACCTCCGACCTCCCGCTCGTTTGAGCTCGGGGAGGTAGGGAGGAGCCACGAGCCTCTCCTGTAAGAGAGGCAAGGAGGTGAGGCGCCAAGCTCCGCGCCCGCATGCCCCGCCCCGCTGCATGTACTGTCAGAGTGGACAGGGTGGGTGAGGGGTAGACAAGAATGGGAGAGAGATGATGGCTTTGTTAAACATACATATGGACTGAGACACAACACAGTGGCGGCTATCAACCAGACCTGGGTAAAACCCATGAGCTCTGCACCTCAACACATGTTTAAAAGTTGATTTAGATTCTCCTCTCTTTAAGTCTTCGGGTCTTCAGAATTCCGGGTTTGTTTACCTCTGAAAGTTTGGGATATGGAGTAAAATAAGTAGCTCACAGCCCATCTGTTCTCTGTCTACGGTGTGTAAAATGTTGGAAAAGATGCCTTTGGATTAAACAGACTGTACAGCAAATCAAATTGGGTGTAGATGTAGTTTTCATTATCCTTTAATTTATCTCCTTGATAGAAAGTTAAAGAAATGCAGGTGTTATGCAAGTTTCAACGGGTTAAATCGAAGACTTTTTAAGCCCATTATGAAAGCAATTTAAGATCCGTTTCACATCCATACTGATAGAAAAAGTAAGAAGGATATGAAGGAAATTGTTTAGTTTGTTATCGTTACAGCATGATAAAGTTTTTTTCCCCCAAAACACATTTAAAAGACTGAAATGTTAATTCCATTAATTCAATCAGTCAAAATGTTTATGTGTTCATGTTTAAGACATTTTAAGGCCTAAAATTCTTGATTATTGAGTTTTTGTCTTTTTAAGACACCTTTTATAGCATGACTATGCGCCCAAGTCTGATATCAACATGTATAATATCAACAGTAGACATTACAGAGACAGGGAACTTTACAAAAAAGCAACAAAGCAATGGTGTGAACGAGAGGTGCCCAGTGCTTCCTGGTCTACATTTGACATTTTATGTGTGTATTCTGACTAAACAGTGACAGACCAAGTTCAGTAAAGACCTTTTATATGTTGCGCTATAAATCTAACAAAGATTTATTATAATATATATATAAGATATATTTACATTCTATACTTTAATCAAAGAAAGATATGTGCAGATTTGTTTTAAATGGAATAGCAATACTCTCTGGGAGCACAAAAAGAAAGAAAGTCGATGAAGCACTTTTACAGAGTCCTTGTAAGTCTGTCAGCTTAACTATTAGCATTATTAGCAACATTAGCAGTGCAAACTGGACACCAATTGTATGAACCATGGCGTGAAATAGTGGAGATACATGTGGACAGGTGATAGATGCAGATAGATATGTACAACAAAGGGAGATTTCATTCATTCAGAGGGTTTAGAGGGATGTTCTCACCTTAGGTAGTCTTGTGAGAGGGGGAGGGATGGAGAACCCCAGTCCAGGGTTGGCCTGCTGAACCCTGGCCTGGCTCGGGACGGAACTCGAGGCCGTGGTGGGGAGAAAGCCGGCTCGGTGGTGCTGGTGTTGGGCTAAACTGTTGGCCAGGCAGGAGTTGGCAGCCAGGGAGCCGGGTGAGTCGTACTGCTCGCTGGACGAAGGCCACTTCCCCTTCAGGATGGCGTGGCAGATGCTGTCCAGGCGGTTGATGATGACCCGGTCCTGCAGGGAGCGATTCAACAGCAAAGGGCTGAACTAATGGCATGAAGATAATGTGAATGGGTCAGCTTTCTTTTACATTTCACTTAAACTCTCATTCATAATGAGAGGAAGTGCATTAATGTTCAAAAACACCACAGAAGGAAGTGCTCATGATCTTTTTTTATTATTATTTAAAAACTAAATCTTGGAATTCATCTTTTTTGATATAAAAAAAAAAACTGAAAATGGATTAGAAGATAATAATAGCACAGAAATCTCAGTGAAAGTGGGTTTTTATGAATACCTCTTGCAACAAAACCACTCTAGTTAAACTGTTTGTGTTTTATTTACATAGATGGACTCATTTATATTTTCTACTTATTTTTCTCTATCTACTGCAGGAGGACTTTCTATGCTCATCAACATTGCTCTCTGTAAACTACAGTAGTCGTTGCAGAAAACACAACTTTTGGGTTCCTGGTGACACAATATCAATGGGGAAAATCTTACAAAGAGTATTTTTGGTTGAAAATCATTAAAACCTAAAAGCAGCCCTTACATATAGCCTACTAAAGGACTGGAATTCACAAAGAATCACAAAGAATAAGTATTTGCATTTAACTCATAATTCAGCAAATGATTTTGCGTTGAACATCTGAAGTCTTGCGATGCATGTCATGCAAAACAAATTCTATAAATACAGACATTTTAGACATAACAGTACCTTCGGCCACTCAGAAAACGAGTAAAGTGCTTTCTCCTGTAAGAGCTGAGCGATGGTCGGCTCCCTGGTGTCGTGGAGGCTGTCGGGAATCTCACACATGGAAATAGGAGCAGCGAACCTTGGGCTGCCCACATAGCCCTCTACCACAGGCACTATGGAAGAGGATGACGGGTGTAAGCTCAGCAATGTGCCTCCTTTTTAGAATCAGAGCATTTTCCAACATAATTAAAAGTCTTACAATCACAACAAGAATGGAAACATCACAACACAGAGCTGTCTGTGGTTTGCTGTTAATTGTATCATTAAAACGAATAGACTTTGATGCAGCTCTAATGTGTATAAACCTCTGAAAAAATGTTTACCTGGTGTAGTTGGCCTCTCCTCCTTCACTTGACCTTTCACCAGACTTCCCGAGGTGTCGACCAGCCCGTCCACCTGCTCCAGCTTCGGGGTCAGGACTGTGCTGTCCGCCTCCAACAGCTCTTGCTTCGTCTCAGCTTTGATCTCGGGTAAAGCTCTGAACTCCAGGCCCTCTGGCTTGGCCTCAGGTTTGATCTCAGAGCTGTCTGGGTACGTTGTGAACTCCAAACCCTCTGGCTTTGTCTCCGTCTTAAGCTTCGCCCCATCTGGGTAAGCAGAAAATCTGAGAGCTACTGGTTTTGCTTCAGGTTTGATTTCGGCGCCCTGTGAGTAGGCTGCAAACTGGAGGACTTCAGGTTTACTGTCCAAGCTCTCAGGTTTCATAGGAAGGCTGAGATCTTCAGGTTTGGTATCCAGTGTTTCTGGTTTGACAGGATAGTCTAACTGCTCAGCTTTGGTCACCAAGTCTTCTGACTTAACGGCGTAGGAAAAGAATTTTCCATGTTTGACCTCAGAGCTGTCGGGATAGACGTCCTCTGCAGCCTCTGTCTTGGTCTCCTCCACCTTGATTGGCAGCTCCAATTGCTGAGGTTTCTTCTCACCACCACTGTCTGATAAAAGAGAAAATTGAAAATCAGATGGCTTTGTGTCAATACTATTTGCAGGTAGAATAGGCAGAATTTTTATTTTATTTTGCTCATGCAGGTTGTTTTTGTTATCCTGATCAAGGGGGAATGTCAAGGCTCTATTCTTACAGTGTCTGCTGCCATCTGGTAAAGTCAGATCTTCTACTGTACCTTCATAGTTTTCCTGATCCATGGACACTTCAGTTTTGACTCCAGCTCCGCCGCTGCTGTCTGTGGTGCTTTCATCAGACTTTGATGGGACTGCAGGCGATGAGACAGAAGTAGTAGGGCAGGAGGGCTGTGTGTATTCTGAGTAAATGCTCTCCAGCTCCATCTCATTTGGTTTGGCGACATGTTGTTTCACAGCCTTTTCTGCTGCGTCATCACAGGGTTGAACCACTGAAACATCCATGAGAGAAACGTGATCCATCTGCCCTTCTGAGATCTCATCCACTTGATCTGCAAGATCCCCTGAACCATCCTCTCTGGAATCTTCTGGAATTCCTCCCACTCGTACAAACTCTCCAGCTGCGTCTCCCATTAACGTTTCAGCGTCAAGAGAGCTTTCCATTGTGTCTTCCTCTACTGTTTGATACAAAATCAACCCATCCACTTCCTCCCCAGGCACTTCAATAGACACGGGACACGCAAGGCTGCCCTCCTGCCCCAGCTTCCCAAGATAAGGGTGCACATGTTGCGGTAACTCCTCTTTATGCTCTGCTTGGTCAAAGCTTTCCTGGAGGTCTTGAGAAAGTTGGTTTGAGACCTCCATCCTCTCGTCCTGTTCCCTGAGGCCCGGCTCTGGCTCTATCCCATCCATCTGTGGTACCTCCATGGGTGGATTCAAGACTCCCAAACTCTGGTCTGCACCTGGGAGGATAAATGATTAAGATGTTAAGTAGTGCCTGGCAATATTAGTTCAATCAAAGTTAAATCATGTGTAAAGTTAAATTAAAGCCACTGTACAAGTTCTAATGGTAAACATTTTTTTGTGGAAAAAGAACATAGTCCCAGTGGAAAAATTATAAAGTCTATGTGTTCACATCGTCTCAGTGACACCACTGGGGGTCACCAAAGTTTTCAGATCCAACACATTGTGGCTTTTAGGGAGTTAGGAGTAGTATTTACTTTTTATCACCCTGCTAAGGGTAGATTTCTCTTTAAAACATAATTTAGACTGTTAAACAATAGAACTGGTTAATTTGTTCGGGTAGATTATTTAATATGCTTCCAGAAGGACACATTTTAGGACACAGTCTCTAACTCCTTTCCTGTGGTCACTTATGTAAAAGGAATCAGTTTTAGAATACATTGTGGACACTAAAGGTGCTTTTTGACATACCTTGGTCTTCATCACACTCCTCATTGTCCAGACTTTGATTTCTTAGTTTGTTCTGCTCCATGGTGGCTATAGATAAGTCTTCCACTTCGTCTTCCTCTTTGTCATCAAACTCGAACTCTGCGCCTCCTTCCTGGCCCTCTCCTTCCCCCACAGGATTGGTCAGGCTCTCAGCGACGTCAGAGTGGCCCAGCCTATCCTGCGGCTCATGGGCAGTGATGTCAGACAGAGAGAGGGGAGGAGGGGGTACATAGGGAGGAGGGGGACTCGCTGACAGGTCAGTTTGATCTGCGCTGGGCTCCTCGCTCACACCAATTTCCTGAATACATAAAATAAAAGTGTCAAAATCAGATTTACTCGAGCCTCAGAATCATTTTACTAAACACTGGTTACATAATGAGTTTTTGTTTTTTGTTTTGTACGTAAGAAGATTTTAGTCTGATGTAAAGTATACCAGTGGAACATAATTCACAGCATTGAACATCAGTGTGGTCTTGTTGTGTGGTCTTATTTTGGTCTGTTGTCTCTCGTTACTTCGAAATTAAACACTGTTCCATAATTCTAACAGTGATTAGAGAACAGAAGGTCTCAGGGCTCATCAAGGAGTTATAGCTTTAAAATTTAAATGTAAAATGTAAAAAGTCAATTTTTTCATTATACATTGTTTTTTTCTTCTTGTTTCTTTCCTTTTTTTCCTGTTAATTATATATAAATTATTCATTTTAGAGTCATTAACATAATATAACTGTTAATCATTTACTCTAAGCTGCCAATGTTACACTGGTGGCACTGGATCCAAAAACCAACCTTGAAGAGCATGTAACTTGAGGACAGCGGCTCAACAGAATCTTCCGCAGAGGGGTGGGAAGGAGAGGATGAGGGCGGGAGGCCCAAACACTCCTCCAGAGTTCCACCTGCCTCCCCTCCTCTGTCTCCCCCCTGTGTCTCCTCGTCCTCTTCCTCCAGGAAGCCAGTCTCCAGAGTGGAAGGACCCAGGATTGGATCAGATTCATTGAACATGTGGTGAGCTGGACTGGAGTGGTCTGTGCCGTCCCAGGGAGCCTGCAGGGACGAAGGTGATGGACAAATTAAAGACGACGATGCATCACACAATTTACCAGGTCACTACTCAAGGAGAATGGAGATTTAAATCATGGTGCTTACCTGTAACTGATCCAGCTCCACTGACGGTGCCATCAGTCCGGTTTCCTCTGAGGAGCCCTGCTCACCAACAAGCACGTCACTCCTTAGTTTTGAATCAAGGTCTGTTCCCCCAACACCGTACGAATTGAGCATGCTTTGACCTCCTGTGGCTGAATTGAATGGGAACCCGTTGAGGGCGTCTTTGGATGCCTTCCCTCCATGTAAAGCTTCTGCAGACATGGCGTCATGGTGCAGCGAACCAAGCTCCAGAGTTTCATCCAAAGGAGGACAGTCGAGGAAATCTCCCCGTGACCCAGGAACTATTCCCAGACTCGGTGAGGAAGAATTGTGGGCATCCAATGGCGGAGGGTGGAGGTGGGGGTGAGAGGAGGAGGAAGGAGACGGAGCCGATGTTGGCGCCGGGTGATGCTGGTGATGATGATGGTGGTGGTGAGAGGACTGGTGGGGATATTCAGGAGGCTGGGGGGAGTGGCCGGAATCATACAGACAGCAGTGAGGGTGAGGCAGCTGCGGATGAGACGAGGAGGAGGAGGAGGAGGAGGAGGAAGAAGACGAGATGCCGGGATGAGTCGCCAGGCCCGGATGGTGAGCGTGATGATGACTTTGAGGATGAAGATGAGAGGGGTGTCCCCTGACGTAGTTCCTGTGAGCCTCCAGGAAGCTCAGCTGGGGGTCGTTCAGGATGTAGAAGTCGGTGCGACTCAAGCCGTGGCGTGCAGCCCCGATGAGGAGGTCACGGTCGTGTTTGCCAGACTCCCACCAGACTGGGAGGTAGAGGGAGGGGCGGCACAGCTGGAGGCGGGCCGACATTAATGGGTGACGGAGAACCTGGGGGAAAGATAGATAGTTCAGAGAGCGGGAAAGCACACCATAAAAAAAATAAAACAGCATGTTGTAAAGAATAAAGTGAAGTTCCATTGACGGAAAAAGCTAACAATAACGCCACGGCAGCGTCAGCTATGCTTTTGTGGACCACCAGCTTCATTCCCCACTGGGAGAGTTTCAGAAGCAGAGCATTTTTGCCAGCCAGATTTTATAAACACGCTCAGATTTGGTAATTTTTTCTTGATTTATGTGCTACTACAATGGGAGGCTCACAGCAAGCTACGTAGTTTCCTTTGTGTGTATTTTTACTTATGCCGCTTCTGTATCTGACTCCCTGCCAGTTAATCTGCTCGGTGTTGCATAACACACCTTCAAAAACAGACAGTATTCTCTGTGGAAAAGAGCGGAGGCTTCTGGGACCATTCTGAAAAGTGCGGTTCTGGTGGAATAAAACATTGTCTAAAACTGCAGCGTTGCAGCCAGAACACATCACAGTCTGTGATGGTCATCTTTAATCTACAATTTATCAGTATAACACATCCCTAAAAAGGCAAAGAGCAGACACTTTCTGTTTGTTTTAACCGCTTAAACCCATTTTTACTTGGTTTTCATTGTCTGTATTTATATGAGTTACAAAATGTCCAAAATATCATGGCTAGGTTAGGCTAGCCAGAAATGCCTTGTTTGACATGAGAATGGTACTTAAACGTAAAAGTTTTGGTCTGTTTATGTGCTTACAGCAAATATCTAAATGTGAATAGATAAAAGTGTCCACTGATGTAGGAACAATGTTGATGGGACATTCTGAGCCTTAGTAATGTAAAAATAATTATCTCTCTAGTGTAGACGAAGAAGAAGTATTGATTGTGTAAAACCCCCAAAAAGCTAATTTTCATGAACTGTTCTCCTCGTTTTGTTTCATTATTTGTTTTTGGATGAATATGTTTTGAGCACTGGCACTACAGTTCCCATCATGCTTTGGATGATGCAATCAGGATGCAACAAAAGCAGCGAGTCAGCTGTGGGCATCACTGTGACTATAAATGTGCAACAACTGGATCACTTCTGACACTGAAAAAAAAACAAATTTCTATGTAGATGGATGTCCGTCTTCACCAGACGTTTATTTATGACACAAGAAGAAGGGAGCTTTTGCATCGATCGGATGCTCCACGTAAAAAGTCAAGAGTGATGAATAAGGTTTATTTGTGCATCAATCAATGCACCGACACAAGGTCATTCCAGACTCTACACAAACAATGGAGACAAACTTAGAAGTAAACTTTCTGAGTTTGAGCTGCAAGAGTGAAAACTAGTATTAATGATGAAGTGTTTCTTCAAACAGCCCACCTGCTCTCTGATCTTTCGGAGCAGCTCGATGCGGTATAAAGTCCGGGCAGCTCTCTCTTCTGTCAGAGGCTCTACAAGCACAGCTGGATCCACCAAACCTGGAAGGAACGAGAGAGACCGTCAACACTGGCGCGGAGGCAGGGAGAGACACGAAGAAGGTACGAGGGTTGAAGGCAGGAAGAAAAATAAGCTCAAGCATGTTTGTGTGTGCACTGTGAGTCACTCCTGTCTTTGATGAGTTTACAACTCCCACACACATACAGCAGTTTAACAGACGTGTGTGAGTGTATTATACATCCTCCTGTCAGCCTATCATCGAAATATATAGCTAATCCTGATTTTTATCATCGAGTTGAGAAGATATGCAATTTATGTCCACATGGAAGGGTAAATAATACCCAGTTTACATTCATTTGAGGGGTCACATTCGTGATGATACAATATTCATAACATTTTTATTTACAATTTAAAATGTTCTATATTTTTATGATTTGTTTGGTGAGTTTTTATATAATTTGATGTAGTTAACTGTCAAAGAAGAGCAAATGAATCCTCCCACCAGCAGGGGTCAGTAATGTTCCCCAGAAATGGGGTCTGCAGCTACACCCCAATGAGGACGATGACTTGTAAATAATACAGTGTGTGTATTTATATTTAAAAACCAGCCAACTGTGGCTATCAAACAAAGCAGCAAATCCTGGGCTTCCTGTCCTTACCAACATTTAAAACAACCACAGAAACAAGGTGGTAAGTTCAGTTCATTGCTGATGTTTGTGTCAGACCATCGGTGTCAAGTTTAAATAGCACATGTCTGTATGTTTCTGTGACTATACACAATACCTTCTTCCTTCCTTGGAGGCAGTTTACAGGCTGTCCGACACATGTTGACGAACGAGTTGAAGTATCTCTCCAAACTCTCGTCCGTCTTCCTCTCCAGTCGGGCCAGTGCTCTGAACTGGGACCAGTCGAAGGTTTTCCTCTCCGAGTCGTACACCACCCCAAACGACGACACAGTGCGGTAAAAATCGGCTTGTTCTCGACGAGTCCACCTTAAAGGGGGTGGAGGAGGACAAAGGCTGTTTATGTTTCAAATATATTCATGAAGTTTTCTATTAGGGGTGTTGATGAAAATGAGAGACACAAACAGATGCTTCCTGAAGTTGAAACACCCAGACTTCAAAATATCCTGCTGTGCTTATGTTTTAAACAAGATGCTGGAGGAAGATTTTTGCTTTGAATACATACTGAACATTCACACAACTAATGTCATTTAAAGAGTAGGAATAATGACTATGTGTAGCCAGTAGGCTTCTTGCAATAAACCAGATGTTTGTGTTGCTCTATGGGAAGCTGTCTGAAGAGCGCTTTTACGAAAGTTCTGTGTGATGTGTTTAAGAAGAGGAAGAACTGAATATAAAGTGGTATATTTAATCTTATAAGTGTAAACTTTATATTTTGCTGTCCTTCAAAGTATCTTCAAACACGAAAAACTGACTGACTGACTGGTGAAAATAATTTTCATATTTTAAAGTGTAAAATGTGATGTTTTGAAACTTTATTTTAAATTAATTTCCTGAAACAGACCTCCACGATGCACCAACGTACTATTTTAAATCTGGCACAGCTACCTGCCCAGCAATACCTTGTGCTTGTATCTAATTATATCTAATATAATAACATTTGACAGTATTAAGCGATGCTGTTCCAGAATAAAATAACACAGAAATGCAGAATTGGTTTCTTTCTGCCTCTGAATTTCCAACTGCGTTACCTCCTCTGCCACTCCAGAAAAAGGGGGTCAGGCTCTGTTGCGACCACAGAACACCGCCTCAGCTCTTCACCCAGTTGCCATGCCAGCGGCCCACCAGCGTGATGACTGTGAGCGGCTCCAGCTCCTCCCATCCCCATGCCAACGAGGCCGTCGTGAAGCATGAAGTCGTGCCTGAGCAGCGGCTCGCGGCGCAGCGTGAAGCGCTGGTAGGCAGTGATCAGGCGGCGTAGACGGGCCGTCAAGGCGGGGCCAGTGGGCCAGAGGGGCCGGGCTTGGACGACGTGGAGCGACGCAACCCCGGTGCCTGTTCCTGTTGTCGTCGTGGTGACCAATGTTCCATCCTGGGCGCACAAGTCACCTGACATCTGGGAGTCTGTGGAGACGAGACGCACGTTTTTTGAGAATCAGGGCTGCTGGAGTGGTACACAGACTTTTGCTACTACATTTAGAAAGTTCCTCATTAGGAAATAAGGAGATATAATACAAACTCACCCTGCTAGCATAGTTTGGTCACTACTTAAAAAGTACTGAGACTCAATGCCTGGTTCCATTTAAAAGCAGAACCTTGCTCTATGATTGTATTCAACCTCACATACTGTATATCTGAATGCCCACTTCATTTTCCAAGAAGATCTATTTGTGAGAGGTTTAACTTCATAAAAACGTAGATTCCAGACATTTATTTAAAAAAAAAAAAAAAAAAAAGAGGACTCTGAACAGATCATTTAACAGAACCTGAAATCCCCACTAGAAACCACAGAACTTGAGCTGAGTCAATCAAACATTGTGTTTTTATACCCAAATATACAGTCTTAAAGGACCAGTGTGTAGAATTTAGTGGCATCTAGAAGTGAAGTTGCAGATTGTAACTAACTGAACCCTGCTCGCATCTGTATTTAACGACCTGGGAATAAGAAAGGACTATGAAGTGTGTAGGAGAAAACTACGGAGGCCCTGAAACTTCTGAAGTCCCAACACAGCTAGAGTTTGGTTTGTCTGTTCTGGGTTACTGTAGAAACAGTGGACTGCATGGAATGTAGTAAATGTTAAAGACTGGACCTTTAATGCACCTGCATCTTCTGAATACAAAAAGTTAATAGAGTACAGATCATCTTAACAGTACTGTATCTCTCATTTATACCAGAATAATGAGTAACAGGGTATTTGTATCTTTCTCCAGAGTACCATTCAACAATTAGATTTGCATTAAATGTACCCACTGAGACACTGAGCGCCATTAAAAGGATCAAAACTAATTTCACACACTGGATCAGCCCGTACTCTGCAGAGCATGAAGACTTGAGCTGAAAGGTGAAATGGGTTTAGATACAGTATGAAACATCATGGGAAGGCACCTCTTGGACTGCATAGAGGGGGAGATGGAGTGGAGAGAAAGTATATTATGTTGTCTGACTCATTACAGAAAAATTAAAATGACGAATTGTAATGGAAGATTAAATTCCCTTTAATACCTGCAAATGTCACGACATAATACAGCTACTACTTGGCATGTATTTATGTGCGTCTGTGGATCTTTAATGTAAAGACGCTTCACTGTGTTTGTGTTCTTGTTGAGATTCTCCTGTTCAAGTTAAGTTATGGAGAACATTCTCCCCAAAGACGCATGCTGTACTTCTTGATATTAATAAAATATGTTAATGTAACTGCACAGTGTGTCTCACCTGGACCTGTACTGTCAGGCTTGTCTGAGGTATCTGTGCTGGAGCAGGTTTCCTCTCCCTGTGAATTAAAGACACACAAATATCAGCAAAGAGAAAAACATCAGCATGAACACATGAACAAACATGAGAGAACAGTACAACTGTAACACATAACTACAGCAAACCAAAAACTTTTGTAATACAAAAAAAAGAAGAGTAATGATATTTCCTTTCCTACAAAAGAAAAACATACCAATCTTATAACTACTGGTCTCATATTGAAAGGAAACTTTAAAAACCTTTTGTTCATGTTTAGGATTATTTCTGCAGCATTTATAGAAAAGTATGTTGCACATTTTAAATGACAAGATCATTGAGATGTACGTTGCAGCTCAGGGTGCAGATAGTTCCCCTCACATAAGCATTTAATTAAATCTTCCACGACAAGAACGGATCAGGTTTTTACTATAACATTTAAAAATACAGCGGTGCAGAAAATGTAGTTGCACGGCAAAGAGAAAAGAGAAAAAAGCTAAGATAGGTGAAACCTGATCTAATAAGCAATAAAAAAGATACCAGAGATTATATTTTACACATCATCTGTTCTGGTATTAAAAGTGTTGTGTGATAAAATGCATCATTACCTAACTACACAGTTGTTTTTACAGTACCTAGATGCCAACTTGGAAGGATCCAAAATTTTAAAAATCCCAGAAGAAATCTTAACCATCACTACACAAAATTAGACTTTTTATCTAAAGAGACTACAGTGAGTGAATCTCAGGTTGTATGCGAGTGAGTGAGTGAGTGGGAGAAAGAGAGCGCGGATAAAAGACAGAGAGAGAGAGCTTTTTAAACGCTAATGTTGCATCTCAGGAGAACTTCCTCTTCACCTTGCTGCTCTCGTCTCTGTCCTCCCCTCCATCAGCTTTGCTTTCAGTGTCGTCCTTCGCCTCCTCAGTTTTGCAGACGCTGTCAAAAGAAGAACAGACAAGTGCAAAAAAGCTTTAATACACACGGATAATCTCCTATTGAGCTCTCCAAGTGTACGACTGAGGGCGACACATGTAAAGGCAGAACTAAATGGAATAGAACACAGGAAGTGTAAACGCACACTCCATGACAAACTTGATGCTTCATTGATGTTTCACTGAAGATAAAACAGGAAATGATGCAGAGATACAACAAAGGGCCTGTCAGAGTCTAACCTGTCAAAATGTGATCAGATGTAAAGAAAACACATTAAACATGAGACAAGAGGGTTACGCTTTGCAACTGTTCTATGTTGAAAGAACCCTGGAATAAAAGTGTCCTGAAGCCCCGAAGAGGAAATGTTTTTAAACCGATAACGAAGTGTTTAGCTGACAGTAATGTATGGATGAATGGAGGAAAACAAGAAAAAAACACAATGTGCCTTAATAACAAAACACAGTATTACTAAGGCAGAACAACAAAATAAAACCAGTGCTACATCTTGTTTCATCAAATGTTTAAATCACTGTGAATACAGTCTTTGTTAATGCCAGATATAGATATTAACAACATTATAACAGGGCTGCCCAAAGTGGGGCCCAGGGGCCAGATGTTTCTAGTGGAAAGAAATAAAATAATGTTTTTTTGTGAGGTAAAAATGGTATTTAAATATGTAGGATTCCTAATTATCTTTCATTATCTGAGCACAGCAGGCACTGACTATATTTGCAGTAAGTCAGTCAATTTTTGCATCTTTGAGTTTTGGCCCTTTAAGCCCCGGTTTAGAACATATAAACATATTCAAATTTAAAAAAACACAACAAACAAAACCAAAAACCAAAAACACAATGGTCACAGTCACAGTTTGGAAACAGGTTAGCTTCAATATGGCTCCTCAATGACCGGGCTTTAATATTAATATACTGAACTGTAACAAACACACAAAGCTTCAGGAACAAACCAAACTCGGAGGGATGTTAAAAATGAAAAATCAAATGAAACTCCTCCTCGCTCCTCATCTTTGTTTATCCTGGAGAAAAACTTACTGCTCGGGATCAAAATTCTTAATTTGTTAAAATGGGGATTTTAGATTTTTATGATCACTTAATTTTTTTTTTTTTTAACAAATGATTCATTTCGGTCATTGCTCTGTAAGCTGGTTTTAAAGATGTTAAGTAGCCCTTGAAACCACTTTTTTGTTATAGTTCACAGAACAAAGCAGTTCTGGAGGAGCTTTGTCACGTCTGAAAAAATAAACCCGTCTATCATCAGTTCTCTAAGCCTTGGCTCGAATTATGACAATTTTTATTTTACAGAAAGCCTGCGTTACAAATGAGGTAGACTGGGTTAAAGACACGCAACCGTTTATCAGGCAGGGAGGGTTTAATGATACTATAGTCAGTATATCTCACTCTCTGCTGCTTCAACTAATACTACTGCAATGCTAAATCACTGCAGTGTCCCTTCAAATTTTAATTGTAAAGCAGGTGGGATGCATTCTGTACTGCTACTTATTTCAAATGTATTCTGGATATTTTTAAACCTATTTATTAAGAACCTGCAGTAACCCTAAGCACACAAACAGTCACTCACTTCTTCTTCTTCTTCTTCTATAAAGACTGAACGATCTTTTACGAGGCTCCCTGTCCAAATTCTAAAACTTTTAAGCATCATAAATATCACATTTGTTTTCCACACCCTCTGTGCCCGCTGTGGTGCCGACTCCACAGGTAGCAAACACTGTAACACTTTTTATGAATGTTTTATGCAGGTTTTGAGCCATCACATTTACTGTACTACAGCCTCTGTGTTCATCCTTTTAATGTCTCCCTTCTGCGTTTTCATTTATTTTTCCCCTTCAAACCTGTGTAGGAAGCCTGTCAAGTTAACATTTTGAGACTCTTCCTGCCATCACAGTCGCTGTGCTCAGCTGGGAACAACTTCAGGTTGAACAGGTAACAAAGCGAATGACAACTTCAATTACCTTCAGGAAGAGGATCAAAGCTTCCTGTGTGTCTCATTTTCATAGTTCTGCTGTCAGCCGGAACAGCAGCACCCAGAAAATACATTTCCCACGCTATGTTTTCGCTTTCCTCTTTCTCTGTCAATTATTCCTCTCTGGCTTGTGTGGGTTCTTCCAGCGAGACTCGTGAGTACGGTCAAACTACCAGAAAAATGACTTGTGAGGACAGTTAAACACCATAAACCTTTTAGAGTTCAGTGGTAGGTTATGGCAAAAATTAAATACCTTATGGAAATACACCTGCAGCTGTATGTGCATGTCAGTCTGATATCTATATATATATGTATCTCTTGCCCAATGTATGTCTATCATTACAGCACGCTCATTGCTACGGACACAATTAGCCCCCTGATGTCACCTTTTGCTTGTATATTTGTATTTCAGTGTGTTTGTAATCTTGTTCTTCGCACTCGGTATGTAAAGCAGGTGTGTGGGCGGGGAGGTGGCAGTGTCGAAGAAAACAAACATGGCATCGGAGGGGACAGGATGTGTTTTTCGCACCAGCGTTGGCACCTGCTGGGAACGCTACTACAGAGAGGAAAAGAAGCGACGACTGCTGGAAGGAGGAAGTGGCTCCTGCTGGAGATCTGCGGGGAAGACGATTTGTGAACATACATGTGTGTCACTTTTGTACCATTCTTTACTATATGTGTAAGACCCTCTATGCCTGGAAGCTCCATAGTTACTGTGTGTCGACTACTGTATGTGCTATGTTAATTAAAAATGTCTTTAGGAATATGTGGCAGCACAGGTCCATCGCCGGTTGGTTTTTTTGTTGAGATTTTTGTCATTTTATTTTGCTAATTTAAAGGTCTGCCTCGTCAGAACGAGAGCTGCTGCTTAGCGACAGACATTCACACTGACACACTAACACAGCTAGAGCCAAAATATTTTCACATCCAACTCTGTGAATTACGGTTTTATTTGGACCAGTTTGACGACAGTGATTTACAGCGGCCCTGAGCAGGACTCCGGGGACGACGGGAGGCATGAAGCAGGAGAGGAGCGAGAGGGAAGTCGGGCATCAGAAAGGCAGTGACAGCGTGCAGAGGAAGAACATTTTCACATCTAACTCAGACACTACCTATCTGCAGAGTTTGAATGAAGTGGGATTTACAATTACATCATCATTTGGCCTGCGCTGGGGGTCTGAGTTCAGGACTATAGAAATGTAGCCACAAGGTTACATCGCTGCCTTTGTCTATCTCTCTCCTCTGTTCACTGTCTGTGTCATGGATGCATACTGAGCTGCAGGTCTGTGTTTGTCTGCTCAAGGGCAGACAGGATGACGCTACACTTCCCTCTCCTCATTCATTCTCTATGCATCTTGACCAATGATGCTCTTTTAGTTCTATTTTCTGTAAGTATATTCAACACAGAAACATCACAGTTAGATGGAGAAAACATAAAAGGAAAGGAAATGAATCTGACAAAGGTGGGAAACCATTCATGTGGGTTTAATGTGTCTGTATACAGTACTGTATGTGCACAGGTCCTACCTTTAGGTTTTTCTACTGTGTGTGAATGTGTGTGTGTGTGTGTGCGTGTACACGTACCTGTCAGCCATGTCGGGGACCCCCTCCCCTCCTCCCTGTTCAGCCGACAGCGCTGTGACGTCTGGCATTCCCACTCTCTCCAGGAAACACAGGTCTGGATCCGCACGCATGGCGTTGTACCGCTCGTAGCCTGGTCAAGGACACACATTGACAGACACACACCCCATTAAAGCACAGGAATACACACACACACACAGACACACACACACTGTGGGCACAACACACAACACGTACATAAATAACAGATGCCACATTTGTGCCCTGAATGACTTTCAGGACAAGCAAATTTCCACTGAATTATGTTTAAATCATAACTGTGCTCATGAGAAAATAGTCATAAAAGAACATTTTTAAAAACCTACAATTTTGGTGACAAGAAAATGTCAAAGTGAAAGTTGACAGCAGTCCTCACCGTGTTTGTGGACTCCAATGAGGAGAGACTTGTCAGCATCTGCGTCCCACCATGAAGCTGGAATCTCTATGTAGTCGATGTCGGGTAGTGATACCTCAAGTTTACTGTCAACACAAACAGCCACACATGCAAACAATCAATCAGTGCTGTCTGTGTCAAATCAGGACACTGGAAACACAGAAAACATTCAGGCTGTCAATCATACATCTTTCTGACTGTTTGAAAGAGTGTTTAACTCTCACTTTCAGTTTCATCTCGTACATTTTCACTCCACTGTAAACGAGCAGAAAGCATTCAAAGAGCCAATAAATCATTATGTCAATCTCCCGACAGATTCTGCATTATGTGTCAGTCCAATAAAGTTTTGTTTAGCAGTTACAATATGAAGAACATTGTGCTCGCTCCATACCTGGCAGGTATTCCCTCAGGAGCTTGATTGGCAGCCTCACCCAAAACCTCCACCTTTAAGTAGTACAACATCCGCACCCTCAGTAGCACCCTGGGGAGAGAAAGGGGGAGAGAGAGGGGGTTGTACTTTGTCTCATAAATGCACCACAGTAAAAGAATACTCTCTCACTCTGAATGGACTGCAGTTCGGTTTGTTCAGACTGGTTAAATTACTCCACAGTGTGTGACTGTAAAGCGTTTTATTAGTGTTTTGTTTTTATGCTTTTTTAAATGTCTTTCTCCCTTTTTTTTTTGCAGATGCTTTGTAATCTCTGCAGCTAATCAGAGTCCTTCCGTCAACACGCTTTCTGAATATTAAATAAATTACCTGGCCTCACAAGCTGATATCAAGGAGTAAACGGTTCATAAAAACAAATAAATAGTAACATTATAATATAAAACATTTAACATTTAACAAGCGCACCGTTCTGTTTCTATACTCATGCTTTGTTGTCAAAGGCGTTTATAACACTGCTGTCTTCTTAAGCACCTCTGGTTTACAAGCAACTATAAATTGCTACAAATCACTGATTACTAGTCAATTAAATAAAATGACCTTTACTGCTGATTGTAGTGTTTCTAGTAGCTGTTGTTCTGCAGCTCATAAATTACACATCAAAAGTAGTTAAGATTGGTAACATTAAAGAAGCACAGAGAAAAAGGTCCAACTGTTATATCATCACCGTAGACTACTGTATAATTATCCTGTTAATTAGAGTTGCGATTTGTAAACCTACTTGTTGCAGTGTTGTTTGAGGTGTTTCTTGTAGCTCTCGTCCTGAAGAACCACCTCGGGGTTACAGTGGACCAGCCAGTCAGCGTTCTTCACCTCAGGAACATTCAGCTGATTCTTCAGCTTCTTCCCCTTCCGACCCCGAGGAACTGGGGCAGATAGACCTGGGACGAAGAGGGACGGAGGAGGAGGGGTAAAATAACTACACCATTAAGGCAAATCCACCATGGATTTCTATACTGCACTACATGCCAACATTTTAATAAATATAGGCAATACAGTGCTTAGCAGGGTGGGTAAGGTAAAAATATCCCTTCAATATTTCATCTGACAGAAACATTACAGTTAAGTTAAAGGTGAATTTTACTGTTTACAGGTCTTGAGGAGCTTGTTGACCAGCACAGAGAAATGCATTCTTGACATGAACAGCCAGTCTCAGGTCCAAACTGACAATGAATGGATGTGTGGAAATGATCCTGGGGACATGTACAGTAGTACAAGTGGTAGGCAGACTCATACCGGAGCAAAAGTGGCTCAGGATGGAGCAGGAGACGAGGCAGGGCTCCAGCTTTCTTAAACATCCGCTATACACTCCATCCAAAATCCTCCCACCGCAGCTGGAAAGAGGTGAGCTTACTAGACCTCTGTATCTCTGCTTGAAGCTAAATTTGCCGCTGCTAGCATCTAATCAATTAAACTGCTGATGATCAAGTTTTGTGGCTAATGTAGGTGCAAGGTTATGACGAGAAAAAAGAATGTGTGGAAGAAAGAAGAACAATATATCTGGTCCTGCTGCATCGATTTTCATCACAGGTTAGAGGGGTGCAATGCTAAATCAGGGGACCGCACTTAAGGTCCAAGGCTAACATCAGTGCAAGCTAACAGTGAAATACTAACCAGAATGATTGAGCAACGCCTGGTCCTGGCCTTCCTTGGTGGGTGTGATCAGGTCCCAGATGAAGCTCTTGATCTTATCATCACCTTTGTAGTGTCTCAGGCAGTAAACAAGCAGAGCCCTGCATAACAAAAAAGAAATAATAGGGCATTACAGCTCTGATCCTGGTGGTTGCTTGTATGACTTAGAATTCCCTGTAATTCCTTTGGGACATTTCAGAACCTCCGCAGGGTGAAATAATGTAGAAAGACTTGCTTTCCTCACCTACAGATCACCTCCATGTCTCTCTCTGCCAGGTGCCATTTAAACCGACCGTGGTTTAAGATGTCCTTCCACCGACCCCACCTGGACAGTGAAGGATGGAGAGGGAAGTAAAAATGCAGATAAGGAACAAAGGAGACAGAGAGAGACAGAGGATGCAGCAGGTCACAGAGAAGGATGGAGAGCAATAAATATTTATCTGTTCAGCTGAAACATTAAACAATAAGTGTGTGATCACAAATAGAATTTATTCTCCTGACTTCAAACCACAGTGAAGATTGCTCTGTTGTATTTTGTCTCATTTATGTTCACTCTTGAGCTTGCAACAGACCAACCTTGTAAACAAAAGATATGAGCTCACAAGGAGCTTTTTATTGGACTGAGTATTAGTGAGATGTCATCCCACAAGGTTTATGATTTTGGCTGCAACGTGTGAGAGATGTGTGTTCACGTGGTTTAGAAAGAAATGAAAAACAGTCACTTAGAGTGGTTGGTAATCATTTTTTTTATTCTAGGCTGTCCAAGGAAGAGGAACTATCAGCTATCAGTCTGTGCACACCTACACTACAAAACTGGCTCATTCCTCTGCTATGGAAACGCTCTCCAGCTTACATGCTCCAGGAAATATTTATTTTTGTTATTTTCTGCCAATTTAACTGAAGCTTCTTGGTGGCCTGGTGTGTAAATGTGCAGCCAAATATGAATGATTCCTAAAAAGTCTCAGGTCGTACCCGAAGATGAGCAGATTCTTCTCAACCCGGAAGCACTCGGCACGGAGGTACCGCCGGCTGCGCTCGCCCAGGCGGCGAGTCCTGCACGGCCGCTCCTCTGAGTCGCTATCCAGCTCTGAGAACTCCATCAGCTCGTCGTCCTCGAAGGAGTTGTAGTGACGAGTCTGCTTCCTCACCCGAGGCGTGTCGATCACCAAGGACTCCTGCAAGAGAGAAGAGTTCAGTGTGAATGAGATGATAAAGGTTGACTTTGTTGTGACGAGACGAAGCGGGTGAGGAGTTATTATCCTCTGGTTGTATTCAGAAGAGAGGGACACCTGAGGAGAGACCAAAAAACAAACCTGCACATTACTTCTGTTCACTAGGAGTGTCAGTTATTAGGGATTCAAGGCACGAGTCATAGTCCACACACACACACACATACAGACAAGGTATGAAGACAGTAGCAGTGCTTGGTGTGCAATCTGCTTCATTCATTAAGGCAGTCCATCTGTTAAGAGGGGGATGGGATGGGGAGGAAAAAGAAGATGGAAAAGGAAGAACATGATTCCTTTTTTTCTCATTTCTTACTCTCATTTCCATCCGGCAGTTGTTTACTCTTTTCCCGATTTGGGAGCTCAGCTTAAATTCCCCTCCCTCCTTCTTTGCATTCACTAACTTGAATAAGATGCCTTTTTTTCCAAGCCTTATGTTGTTCCCCATCTCAAGCACTCCTCTACTCTCCCTTCTTCTTACCTTTACATGATGGGAATAAAACTCCCGTTCAGTGGTTAATGTCCGACCTCTTTCTCCTGTTTTCCCAGAAGCATCCACCTTTCTTTGCTCCCTTCTCTGTCACTTTCTTCACCTTTATTTCCTTCATCTTCTTATTATTTTTGTCTCTTTTCTTTCAAACTCCTTTACTTCCTTTTGCTCCTTTCATCCTCTCCTGCATTTATTCTCAAATCTGTTCCTCTCTCCGTCTGTCTGTACCTTCTCGGATTTGGAGTCGATCTCCACCTCTGCGATCTTGGCCCATTTCTGCCAGAAGTTGGGGTCGTCCAGAGAAATGTCCGTTCTGTTACCAGATGAGATGAAACTGGCCTGAGGAAAGAAAAACAGAAAAGACAGAGTAAGAAAAAAACAGAGTCATTCAACCAAATGTTTGGACTGAAGCCAACTGCTGATTTTTTCCCACAATAGGATCTTCACATTTGATCTGCGTGTCAAAATATTCCAAGTATTCAGGGCTTCCTCCAAAGAGCATCAGAAACAAACTATGGAACAAAATAAAACATTTGAAAAATCTGTCTGATTTAAGGCCTTCACTAAGACAACTGGACAAGATTGGAGATATGCGTTGACAAGGTTACATCTACCGTCTCAGACATCACACACTTAAGAGAGATAGAATCAAACCACACCTAAACATCTGTGCTCATGCTGTCATTTTCTTCATAAAGGATGGAGAAGGCTAGGGCTGAGGTCAAGGGTTACGGCGTTGACCTTTTTCCTACATTAGATCAATATGTTGTCGTTGTTTGTGAATAGATACGTTTCTGGCCTTTCTACCTTAGCAAACGTTGACCCTTTCCCTTCAGACTGGATGGTGATGGTCTGAGTTCGTCTCTGAAGTATCTGATCAATGTCTTCCTCGCAGAACTTGGAGCCCTCGTCTTCTTCGTCCATTAGCGCTCCGTATGCTCCTTTTTTCAACAAATCCTCCACTTCTAGCTTAGAGAGCTGCTGCACCTGCAGCAACAAGAAGCCACATTGATTCTCTTTTTCTTCCTCAGATTCACAGTTGGTAAACAGCTGACCACATCTCGGAAGAAAAGCTTTGAATAAATACGTTGCAGCATCCAACAATCTCGTACAATCCAACAAAAGACTAATAAGAAGTAATCTCTCACCCCGTTGAGGCTTCCTTTGCGGTTGATGTCTTGGAGAACGGCCTTGTCCAATCCCAGCTTCAGACTGGCCTTGTCAAACATTTCCCTCTCGTAAGAATTCCTAGTGATCAGTCTGTAGACTTTCACCGCTTTGCTCTGGCCAATCCGATGGCAGCGTGCCTGGGCCTGACAGCAAAAAAAGATATGAAATATAACTGCAGGACTCACTGGTGACAGTGTCAGAGAGGAGGACAATGAACAAACTGCTGGACATTATTGACAATGCCAGCCACCCCCTGCACACTGTCATCAGCAACCAGAGGAGCCTGTTCAGTGAAAGGCTGCTCCTTCCCAAGTGTAGGACCAACAGACTCAAGAACTCCTTTGTCCCTCGTGTCATCACACTCTACAACTCCTCACTCGGGGGAAGGAGGAAATAGGGTAAAGAGGACAGAAGGGAAGGAGTGGTAGCCACTCTTCTTCCCTCTCCTCTTTTTTTGTGCAATAACTTAATCCACCGCTTAAGTGCAATAATTTAATTTAACTGCTAATTTCTGCTAATGTCATTTATCCACTGTATAATAACACAATGCCACATACAGTCCTATATATTTATCTATTTATCCTCTATACAGTTCTCTACATTTATTTTATTTTCCTTGAATTTTATTTTACTTTTATTCTTATCTCTACTTTCTATATTTAGCTAAGAGTTTATTGTTTACTTTCTATATTTAGCTAGATTTATTTTTTTTATTTTTTTTTTTTTTTATTTTATTTATTAAGTGTTTTGTAAGCTGCTGGAAATCCAATTTCCTTGCGGGAGTCATCCCAAAGGGATCAATAAAGAGAAGTCTAAGTCTACGAACAGTATAGCACATCACTATAATGCATTATTACTGCGTTTGCGGTCGAACCTAAGAATGTGTTTAGATTAAGGACCACAGTAGGTGACTGATACGAAACACTTATATTACACCGTACTTCATATGTAACAGGTTAGCAAAGAGGACGAACACAATATTTGTCCCTCACCAGAAAAGTCAACAAACTCTCAACCGTTAAATAAAAACATTTTTGGAAATGCCACTCAATTTTGAGAGTGTTCAAACATTTTGGCAAGAAATGGAAACATCCATTGCATAAAAACCGTGGGAAACCCACAGAGTCAAGTAACACTGCCAAAGTCATCCTGTGAAGCGCGCATCTTGTCAATTACTGCAGTCCCAAAAGGCATCATGAATGCCACTACATATTAAATAACAGCCGAAAGAGAGCTCTCCTCTCACCTGCAGGTCATTCTGGGGGTTCCAGTCTGAGTCGAATATGATGCAGGTATCTGCAGCCGTCAGGTTGATTCCCAGCCCTCCGGCTCTGGTGCAGAGCAGGAAAACGAAGCGGTCCGAGTCCGGCTTGCAGAACCTGTCGATGGCGGCCTGCCGCAGGTTCCCTCGCACACGACCGTCGATGCGTTCGTACGCGTAGCTGGAGAAAAAAAAATAAAAAAATACAAATGTGTTGATTTCTATAAGAACGTCATGTCAAGGGTAATGAATGCATCTTTGAATTCCTCTCCTTCCTCTAGAATGTTTTCTTTCCATTCTGCTTCTTCCATCTTTGCCTCTTTATCCGTCTTTCCTTTTCTCCTTCCACATTTTCCTTAATTTCTGTCCTTCCTTTTTATTTTCTCATTGAATTGTAACCCCCTCCTTCCCTCCCCACACTGCTCTTGCTTCTCACCGTCTCTGTATGAGGTAGTCCTCCAGGATGTCCAGACAGCGGACCATCTGGGAGAAGACCAGGACTTTGTGTCCCCCGGCCAGCAGTTTGGGCAGCAGCTTGTCGATAAGCACCAGTTTACCGGCTGCCTGGATCATGGCCTGCAGCTGGAAGTCGAGCGCATCTGGACTGTGGCACTTCCTGAAGCTTTCCAGAATCTTCTCCTCCGCTCCTGAAAGAATGGAAGAGGAAGGTAATGCTTTACTTTCAGGCTTAAAGAGATGGAAATAATTCATTGCACGTCTAAGAGAACACTGTTTATAGTTCCTTAACATAGGAAAATATTTGTGTGTGTTGTGTTTAACTTGACCATTTTCTTTGTTTAACCATGTTCTCTCTTTCTAGCTTGCTTTGTTTTGACTGCTTGTTGTTGAACACGTTACTGGTGTGCTGTGTAATTATAGATTTAAATGTTTTGCTAATTACAACTGATGTGTCTTTTAAGAGGTGGACTTACAACCAGGGAAGGACAAAATCACTGATTGTGTTTGTGTTAAAGTCTATGAGTCTGTGTGTTCCTTTTGTTACTAAACGCATGGTGTGTGTGTGTGTGTGTGTGTGTGTGTGTGTGTGTGTGTGTATCTGTGTGTGCGCGTGCTCTCACCTGTGATAAGGTAGGGGTGGTTGCAGCACTTGCGGAGCTCCATCATGGTGTTAATGAGGTTGGGCATGTTGTGCTGGTTCGCTCCTTTGGATAGGAAGGAGAAGTTCTTCTCTAAGATGGCTCGGTAGTATTTCTTCTGAATGTTGGTCAGCTCCACCTGCAGGGACACCACACAGACGAAGTCCAAATTATGTTTTAGTACAAAGGCTGGTAATGTGGTTCTTCTGTTGCTGTGTATTCCACCTAGTGTCTTTTCATTTATCACAATTACCCGTACAATGAATCACGTTGGGATTTTAGTTTCAGAATTAGAATATTGGCCAATAGTAAAACCATCCAACCATTCATCTGTTGTATATTCATCACTTATCCTGTTGTGGAACCTGGAAAGTCAATCACAGAGCTGACACACACACACACACACACACACACACACACACACACACACACACACACACACTCTGGCAAACGCATTCAAATTCGCGCCTAAGGGCAATTTTAGAGTTTCTAATTCACCCAACCTGCATTTGTTCGGACTATAAGAGGAAATTGGAGCACCTTGAGGAAATGAACAGACATGTAAAGAACATGCAAATCCCAAAAAGACAGGCTCACGTAACAGGAAGTTTTCTTTCATTTTAATAAACTTACATTTGGAATCTAGTTGTGACTGAAACATGTTAGATATGATAAGATATTAGATTCTCAGCTGTTGAATGGAATTGTTTCACACACACAGACAGTCCTACCTCTATGATGGTCTCTTCTTTGGGTGCCAGGTTTTTTTCTACATCATCCTTCAGTCTCCTCAACATCATGGGCTTCAAAATGGCCTGAAGCTTCTTCACCTATTGGTGAGAACAAGCAGGAGATGTGAATGTGACGTGAATGCAAATGTTATGTTTCTTTCTTGTCCTTCCTCTTTATGTTCATACTGGGAGTGTTTTTTTAAATCAAATAGGTTTTGAGAAAAGAAACATGAGAGAAAACAAAACACAGCTGATCCCAAGCAACACAACACAGAGCAAGGACACTGAGTGTGAGAGAACATGTTAGGATGCATTTAAAACAAACAGCACTACTTCCTGTAGCAGCAAAAGCCATCCCACACATTGAGACTTTGGCCTGACTTTAAGGCTACAATGGACTGTATCTACATACCTGTTCATCTGTTTTCAGGTCTCCAAATTCCTCCAGGAAAAGGCTTTCTGAAGGAAACTGAAGCGGCTCCAGGAAATTCAACAGGCTGAACAACTCCTCCACTGAGTTCTGCAGAGGGGTTCCTGTCAGCAGAACCTTGTGTTCCTGTTAGAAACATGGAGAGGAATATCTTTAAGAAACATGAATAATAATATAAAATAATCATATTTATCAGAATCAGAATCACTTTAATAATCCCAGGGGGCAATTACTTCCGTTACATACTCCAGATGTAATAGACATATAATATATTAAGAATATATATATATATATAAAGGATTATTCAAACTGAACTGAAAAATGACCCTGTTGGGTTTATCTAAACAGTCTTCTACAACTTCCTACAGGAAAGACAGAGAGACGGGAAACGGGACGGGAGACGGGATTACGCAAATAACAAGTCCAAGCAAATGTTGCCGAATTTACATTTTCATCTCACCACTAAATGGTCAACAGTCACATAAGATAAAAAACCACTGCTGTAAATTATATTATACTGGACGTAATTATGCTAATTCCTACATGCACTGTACATTACCACACACACACACACACACACACACACACACACACACACACACACACACACACACACACACACACACACACACACACACACACACACACACACACACACACACACACACACACACACACACACAGACTGACCAGGTTCATGAGTTTAAGTCCCTCCAGCAGTTTGCAGTTCCTGTTTTTCAGTCGGTGGGCTTCGTCGATCACCACGCAGCGCCAGTGGAGCTTCTTCAGCTCCGGACAGTCGGCCATGATCATCTCGAAGGTGGTGATGACACCTTGAAACTTCAGCACCCCAGGGATGGTGTTGCCCTGTGGAGAGAGAGAGAGAGAGAGAGAGGGCGACAATGGTAAGTTTAAATGATCAATTAATGATTTTATTTCTTGTATTTGTAATCCACTGTTTTTAGTGTTGTTTCAACTGATTCAATTGTATTATTATAGCTTTTAAATCTATTAATTGTATTCTATTGTCATCATATGTATCTTTGTTTTGTCTATTTAACTTATTTGATCTAGTTTTTATTTAACTTAATTAAGGTTGACACTTCTTATTAGCTTCTCAGTCGTTTGTGAAGCACCTTGAACTGCAGTAACCTGTATGAAATAGGCTACACAAATAAAGTTTAAGTGACTGATTGCAGGTCATGTCTCACTCTTGCATTCTTCACAATCTCTCTTTTAACCTTCCAATAAAAGCACAAAATGCCTCCAAAAATGTTGAAACTGCTGAACAAGTGAATTTATCAGGCATGACCAACATGAATATTCACTCCTCTTGGATATCTGCAGAAAGCCAAACTCAAAACCTATTAGCTTGACACAGTACTGCATACAGTATGATAACTCTGTATTCATCGGAGACTGGACACGCAGAAATACCGGTTTTGAATATTTATACCACACAAAGAAAAAAAGACAAGCAGAAGGTGTTTCGAAATAACTACATAGCTGAAATGAAATGGTCAAAGATGCTGATCACGTCATGGCCAGAGATAGAGCCACCCAGCAGGGAGGGTGAGGGAAAAAGAGGTCAATGAGATAGAGAGAGAGAGAGAAATGACGAATGTCTGTCACATCCACAGAAAAGTCTCTCGGATGGAGGATGGACACAAGAGGAGAGGAAGGCCGAGAAACAGAAAATGAAGAAACCGAGGAAAAGAAAAAGCAAAGATGCTCTTAAATCGTCCTCATCATCTGATGAATCATCTTGACGTCATGAGGATAGAGCACACAAACAGAGATAATGATCACAGGGTGGACGGTGCTCGCTTACCAAGAAAACCCAGTAAAAGTACACTGAACTACATAACCTGCAAACACACTGATTGAAAAGAACAACCTTAACCTTCTCCATGAAAATAACCTCATCTCCAACAGTAACGTTCTTCACTACATGTTTAACCTTAAAGGAATTCATAACACATTCTTATTCATGCTTACCTCAGTAGAAGCAACTCAACTATGTCCTTATATCACAAGATTACACGACACTTCTAAACGGTTTAATAGGAACTGTTCAAGAGCTGCTCAAAGCTATGACAATAAGATCTCTTCGATGTTGTGAAGTGTTGCTGTAGAGGGATGGAAGGCCAGTGTGAGAGTAAAGGAGATAAAGAGGCAGATTCTGTCAATATAATAAAATATCCATTGATCTTGCCATCAGAAGATCTGAATCTGATAGACAGTGATAGCTGGTGGATTAAAATCTAAAGTCTGGCAAACAGAGCTTTCATCATTTTATTACTGAACATGTTCAATAACCATAGCTACTGTATAACCTACCTACAATAACTTCATACTAAACCTAGCCCCAACCTTAAAGATAGTCCCTTAAATACAAAGAAATACATCATAAAAACACTAAGATCAGCTGAACATGAGGTATTTGTAAGGTATTAAAAAGTGACTTAAGATGGAGTCAAAGTTTTTAAGTTATTCAAACCCCCAACAGCAGTAGAAATCAGGTTTTGTGAGTCAGTACCTGAGACTTGGAAAGCAGGAGCTTATTAAAACAGCAACTGTGAAGCCAAGTTTAATTCCCTGTCCTTTCCTTACATGCAGCTGTAACTTCTTCTGCCAATTTCTGTGACCTTGTTGTTAACTACAACATCCTCCCTGCTCTCTGCAGAGACTGCTGAGACACAGACCTGCATGCTCTCTCTCCAACGGTTTGTCTTAACCAGTGATCAGAAGACAGCAGGAAAAAAACAATACGCGGCGCAGCCATAAAACATTTCAACTTTGCGGTGAACTCCATTCTCAGCCAAGAAAACACATTCTACCACAGATACCAGTCTAGACCGACCTCAACAACTCAACACTAAATGCAAAGAGTTTGCACTTCCTCCTGAGGTTTGTTGGAAGGGATTTCCCGACTCTTCACTAATTAGTCCTTACAGCACATAGACAGCAGGCAGGTTTGTGTTAATGTGAGTTCACCAGGGATAACAATTATATCAGCTTGAGGATGAAACAAACGATTATTTTCATATTCAATTCATCAGTCAGTTATAGTTTCTATCAGCTAATTAACTGACTTTCCTATAAAATGTTACAAAATACTTTTAAAATATCCCAGATGTCTTTATATCGCAAGCTCCAAACAGTCCAAAACCCAAAGAGATTCAGTTCACCACAGAGAAAAGCAACAAATCCTCACATTTGACTTCAACAATAAATTGATTATCAGTACAGAAACATAAATATGTATGGCCTATAAATTACTGGCCAGATATATTATTAGACCAATACATTTATTGACTAATCTATTAACAAAACACTTTATCATGAAATAATGTCTGGAAGACAGGAAACATCACAGACAGATGACTCATAACACAGAGGTAGACTAGTTTTAATATATACCATATGATATGAGTTTTTCTCTTCAATAGGCAGCAGTATTGTTTTGCAGCGAGTCTGGGCAAGCTGTGTAGCATGTATTGAGCTAGTACCCTTCTTACTAACAAGTATAACTTTATAACACAACAATTAACAACCCACAACAACCTCTCTTTAACAGGCCAAACACCATGGCACACAACAATTTCTGACTACATGTGCAATAGAACATTTCTATACGTACTTATTTCATGTAAATATTGATACTGACAGAATATTTAATGTCAGTTTATAGTGCGACTATTTTTTAAATATTTTGTTTTGAAAAGAAACCAATGGTAAAGTTGTATCTTATTTATTTTCAAGTTCTGTTTACTACATTGCAGTAGTAACTATTACACACAATAAAAAAACCTTTCTTTTTATTCTTTACATTCTGATTTCTTCGTATATTTTGTCAGGCAGAGAAAAACCCTACAGCAATAAAAGCCTTCAGTATATACATGATGAATGACATATTACACTGTGAAACCAGCAGAATGTTAAAAAATACTGCGATTAAAATTTTCGGTCAAACCAGCCAGCACTAGTAACCGGATATGTGGTGAATATGGTCTTAATAGAAGTCAGCAACAGCGAACTCTCGCCACTTTCTTTTATATCCTAGTGAGGGTATGCGGTTCAGAAATAAAAAGCCATCCACCCACACCTTCTCCCTTTGGGTCTATTTATAAAAACGCCACATGGCTGACTCATCCACTGCGTGATGAGAGGCGATGAGCACCGTGCGTACACTGTTAAAAATCATACATTCAAACATTACCTGTGGGTCTCTGTAAAACATCTCGTACTGCAGGATCATCTGCCGGCTGATCTGCGAGCCGTGATACACGATGACGTTCATGTGGGTCCACGTGCGAAACTCCCTCTCCCAGTTGGTGATGGTGGACAGGGGGGCGATGATGAGGAAGGGGCCGCGGATCCCCATGTTGAAGATCTCGTGCAGGAAGGTGATGGACTGGATGGTCTTCCCCAAACCCATCTCATCTGCTAGTATGCAGTTTTTTCTAGGAAGAAAAACAAAAGACAGTGTGTGTGTGAGAGAGAGAGAGAGAGCAGAGGAAGCCCATTGCCATAATCCTAAAATACAGGAAATACATCTCATTTATGGTAATTAGTACAACACTAGAGCTAATTAATGCAATATTATCTGTTGTATTCCTGTTCAGCTTGCTGTATGAAACATAACAGGCAGTACAGTCACCGGTCTTAATAAAAGGTCACTGTCCGACCCAAGCAAAGTGTTAAAAAGTTGAGAAAGCTTGTGTAGCTGCAGCGAGGAGAGAGTTCCCAGTGAGAGGCATTTACTGTACCTCAAACATCTTTAGTGACTCTGTTTGAGATCAGAAGGAGGGCTGACTTTAGTCTGGGTTAGTTGGATTTATGGAATGAACTTCCCTTTACAGAATGAAATCCCTGGAGGTCCTCACAGCTAATGCAGTGTGTGTGTGTGTTTGTGTGTGTGTCTTTGATGCCATTCTGAATACTTGAGAAATGTCAAGTGCTGTGTGAGTCATCTCTCTGTGTCTACCTTCAACCTCGGACAAATTTAACACTTGAAAACTAATTTAGTCCCAGTGTGACCGAGTACACTGTGTCAAGGTAATCATAAAAAGTTATTTTCAGTTTCAGTGGTAGTTTAATTCCAGTTCTAATGATGCTGATGCTTGCTTTGTTTTGTGTTTTCTCATGTTATATTCAATGATTTATTTATGTCAGTTTTTGTTTACAGCTTTGACTGGTTCCAGTGTGTTTGTGTGCAGTATTCACCTGTTGTACCAGTTGAACAGTAACCAGTTCATTCCCTCCAACTGGTATTCTCTGAGCTGGTTTCCATTGCGGTAATCTTTGGAGTGCTCCAACTTCTGCCATTTTTCTGGAGGAGGACGCTCCTGCAATATGAACCATACATTGTACTTTCCGTGATTCCTTTAGTGGTAAAGAAGTGTTTAAAGTCTCACCATTTCAATTTCAGCTGAACCAAAGAATACGTAAGTGACACCATCAGTTTTAAGTTGTATTATTAAAAAAAACAACTGTGATTACTAACAACAACAACAACAACTGTGAAAAGGTTTCTTTTTCTGAATGTAGTCATCTTCACTACATAGCTGGGAAGAAGGAATATCACATATTAAAACTATTTTGTTCCCCATATAAATCGGAAAGGCGATAAATGAGTCCCAATTTTTGAAGGTAAGGGAGGACTCATTCTCTGATGTTGGAGGTTGAATATACAAATAATAAAATAAGTAGCTGCCTGGGTGTAATAAGTGATAATAGTAGTTTTAAAATGAATAATGGCTAAAAAAGCAAGAATAATATGCTCAGGTCTAATCTCTCAGGAGTGGACAGACTCTGAAAAATGACTGCTTAAATAGCTGCAATTTTGTAATCGACATCCAGCAAAGTAAATCTACTGTTCAGGAGACTGATGAGTTAAAATACACCTCTGTCACAAACTTCTCTGCTCTTCTTACATTAATTGGCCTCTCCACTGAACACTGGAGCGCAGACGCGGAGGGGATTGCGGGTCACAGAGCAGAAGATGTTTTACATGGATCTGATTGTGAGGTTTTTCAAAACCTCAACGTGACCTCCAAAAACAAACACGAAGCCAGACCTGATGGTGCAGAACTCCAGTGTGAGAGGAAAGAGAAACCTCACAGTGCTGATTGTGTTTGCACTCATTAGCACAGTAAAAAGAAAACAGGGCCAAGATGGTGAATTTGAGGGAGTGTTGTTGTAGAGTTGTGGGCAGAGAGGTTGTCTGTTCTCCATGATGTTGTGGTGTTGTGCAGTTTCCCTGTTTCTTTTATCTGCCCACCAACATAAACTCAAGATGCGAATGTGTTTGCTCACTATTTATCGAAACATAATGCGATTCCAGACATCTGAATCACCGCCACATCACATCACACAGGTCTGGTGATGTACTCTTTGACAGCTGCTTCCCTGGCTGGGAAATCAACCGAGCCAATCAGAGCTCAGTAAGTAGCATTAACAATAAAGACATCATCTCCCTGCACCGGAGTCATTGAAATTGTGAATAAAACGGACAGTTATACAAGTTGTTACACAGATAAGTAAGTTATAAATCTGAATATTTCTTGCTCCAAGCTAATTGTACTGCAGCTTCTGTGTTGACTGAAAATTGACAGACGGGACGATTATGTCAGTCACTGTGGACTAGTCAGGGCAAAACAAACCCATCTTCCAAATGGAAATCAGCTAACATGAACACGACGTCAGACTAAGTAATGAAGTCAAAACGAAACTGCAGTTCAGACTAATTATCAGGTTATATCTGAGGTCGACTCCTACACTAACAATGCTCTGCTTATTTGATGTCAAAGTCTTTCATTTCATAAGTTTGGTTTCGTCTGAAGTGATACTTCCCCTGCTAACAACACTTTGCCACTTTATTGATGAAGATATTTTTTCGTCACACAGTGTGTGGGTCTATAATAATCACAACCTTATTGAAGAGTTAATATGTGCCAAAAAGCTTTCCAAGCTTACCAAGATCTGCTTTAAACTGGCGTCGTATTCACGTTCTTGAGTTTTTGTAGAATTTAACATTTTTCCTCCTCAAAATACTAGTTTTTCTCTTCTCATTTTCTTGTCCTCTTTATTTGTTTCTGCTCACCATGTGTCTGAGATCTGGCGGCAGCTTCTGGATCTCCTCAAACTCTTTGATCTTCTCTGGGTCCAAGTCCTCCTGCAGCTCCCACGTCGCCTCCTCGTATGAGAGACTGCACCACTTAACGAGGTAATGGGTCACCTCCTACAACAACATACAGAAAAACATTGTTTGTGTGTGTGTGTGTGTGTGTGTGTGTGTGTGTGTGTGTGTGTGCGCCACAGGACTAGGAGTGTACCACCACACTGAGGACCTTCAGTTATAATTGCTTTCAAACCAGACAAACGCTGCTGTCAAGGTCTGTCTGTGTTTATGTGTTACGTACCTCTCCAGTCTCAGTATCTGTGGTAACAGCCACCTCCAGCACTCTGTCTGCCTCAACATAGTCTGGATTAAATAAGTCCTCATCGGGCTAGAGAAAGAGAAACAAAGAGAGACGGAGAGAGAGAAAGAGAGACAACAAGAGATTCTTCATTATTACCTATTAATAAGTTCAGGGATCACTTTGATAGAAAATGAAAACAGCCTAGAAATAAGAGGAGAGTGGGTCCTGTCAGTACTGTAATTCTTTGTCATTGGTTATTACACTCTGTATTTACTTTGTATTTATGCACTTAATTTACTTATTTTGCTTCCTTAACACGTCTTCTATTAGATTACTGGAAAGAAAACACAGAAAATACCCATTTAGGTGTTTATTTCACTTCATTTTGCCAGTTTGCGTCTGTAGATTTCCCCAAAAGTTATCATTGGATAACATTTTACTTGCATATTTAAACATTTCAGAAAACTGTAGGCAATCAACAGGAAGTTTCATGGGGATATATATCTGTTAAAATGTGTACCCTATTCACCTGTGGTGTCTTTCAAATTGCATTTACAATAAATATAAAGATAAAAGCCATTTTCTTTCTCACACTCTGAGGCAGAAATCTGTACTTCAGTAGCACTTACACCAAACCATCTAGTTTTATTGCTATCTATATTCTTAAGGTTTTTAGAGGGGTTTGTTCATATATCCTTCAGAGCCTGATTTATATCACATTTTATTCCTAAAAAATATTTTTTTATGGCTTTTGACAGTATTTTCTGATTTATGGAGTGATGAGAAGAGATTTCTTCCTGTTAAAATCTTTGACTCTAATATGTCAACATGCTTGCTTTATCCAAAGTTCAGATTCCTGTTCTGAGAATATATTCAAAATACCACATTTTTAATTAGATAATGCCTAGGTGGTGTAACAATTCACCAAATCCACGGTTCCGTTCAGACCTCGATTTTTGAGCCACGGTTCGGTTCATACCGCGGTTTTCCCCGTTTCCCCATTTTGCAGAGAAACAGAGAGAGAGAGATGTTATCTGATATAACATTAAGTGGATACGGCAGAAATCTTACATTACCGAGCGTCAGTGAACGCACCACTGCAGATGTCACTCACTAACGTTAGTTTCGGTTTGGACCCACATGCGGCGCACTTGAAAACTGAATCACGGGTGAGTTTATGAAACGTACTGCTGATGGAGAAAGTCAGCAGAGACACACACAGGGAGAGAGAGACAGAAAGAGGCGGAGCAAGCGGGCGTGTTTGCCGTGAGTGACCAGAGGTCCAGGCTAGGTGTGTGTGCGGTGTGGTACCTTGCTACCATCCCTTACCCCTTAACAATTCTTCTGAAAAGCTGCAACAAAATCCAATAATGACGTCTGACCTGGCACACTTCTATGAAGTTGAAATTAAGCAGTAAAAACCATATTATGCTTTTATGTCAAGGTGTTGCCTTGGTTACAGTACGTTGGAGTTAACCTGTCGACCTTTATAGAACTTTTAACACTGGATTAATGCGTTGTGAATTATCAAGCAGTTTGACCCATTCATTATGCACCTGAAGAAATCCCCTTTACATTCTCCTAATCGCTTTGTGATGGACAAAGATTATCAAATACAAATGTGTCCAGCATGACTCAAAAGGAGAAGATTAGCCTTGTGTCCGGACCTGAACAGCAGATAAGAACAATAAACAGAGGACGATGGTAACTGATACCTCGGTGAACAGGTGTTTCATCTGGGCCTGTTTGGTCCTGAAGCGTTTAATCTTCTGGTGGATTCTGGGATCTTTCTCCAGCTCTTCCAGAGTGGCCCATTTGCAGTGCAGGTAGGAACTAAAATAGAACACAGCACAAGAATCAACACAGCTTTCTTTGGTGAAACGTGGATTTTGTTTGCCAGATCATATGTTTGTAAAATCAACAAAATAAATAATTATCATCCATCAAAAATATCAAGACCAGTCACTGTGACCTCTCTTTTTCAACCATTAACTGAACAAAGAGCCTTGTACATGTAGTTAGACGAGTAGAACAAATCAGTCCTCACCATTATTTCTGCATCAAACCCAGTACAGCACCATAATCTATTTGAAACAGGTCCAAAATCTATGCTTTCAGGTCACTCTTGGCACAGTTTATAGTACTGTCAGAGTTCAACTTGCAATGTTCTCACCTTGGCCCACAAACCAGGGCTAATAAGATCCATTAAAGCTTGTCGTAACATGGATAAAATACCATTACTTATTTAGCCTAGGTGCTAATTTAGAATTAGTTTAAAGTCCAAAGTGACTGTTTTCGTGTCGCCCTCCACTGTATCTTTCAGACGAAGAGTTTTATCTGTATGCACCATACATCACTGACTCTTACAGAACGGGGAACAGTGAGGATGCCCCCCTCTGTGTTATACGCACTGAAAGAATTCCCTAATCATTAGTCGATGGGGAAGAAAGCTGAACAAATGTTGTTACTATGGTTACAGTTTGACATGCATGATTGAATCCATAAACCACAATCTATAAATGGACAAAAATAAATGTCACTGCAGTGTTCGGTGTATAGTACTTCTACCATGCAGTTACTAAACAGCCAATGTAACTACTTATGCATTTGATAGTGCAATATGTATAATGGGGATTTTTATACTACAAATATTAAACTTGGGGCTTTTTCTGTAACTTTATAATTTGTGAATACATTATTCTAAATAAAGTCGTGAAAAAGTAAAACGTTCTATTTTGTTTGATTCAACTCGAGCAAAGTCTCTATGTTTTATTCATCACCCCTGAGAATAAATTACGATCATAATAATGGCAGTATCTGTGTAGGACCTTTCTTAAAGACACAAAGTGCAGGAACAAACAGGAGGGTCTCCAGAGATCCTCAGACTGGCTGGAAGAGCTGAACCTCGGTGAGAGGATGAAAAACTCTCTGCTCTCCCTCAACAGCGACTGCTGAGAAGCACTTTACTGACTCTGGAGAGTAGACCAAAGCTAAAACACAGCCCATGTGTGCAAAGTCAACTTCTCTGGGAGAAATCAATGTCATAAGAAATATTAACTAAGCCGCTCTACCATAGTGAAGACACTCTGTAAATGTTTTCAGCAATGAAGAGGGTGAATTTAAACACCTCTGAGGCTGAACATGTGCATAATGGCACCTAGGACTTGCTGTAGATTCATCAGGGATGATTTTTAGGACAGTTCTTTGATTATGTTAGCGAACCTTACCCTAACTTGCCAAGGTGTTCTCTCCCTTTCCTCTACCTAACAAGCCACACACCAGCATGGTCACATGGAGCACAGCTCCAGTGATTACATGGGTTTTACTTCAGGTGCTTCATTTTCCATGCTAGTGGGTCTGTTACCAAATTGCAGAATAATCCATCCAACTGTTGCCAAGATATTTCCCTTTGAATCACAAATGTCAACCCGCTGATGGCGCTTTAGTAAAAGTCAGGGGATCACCAAAGTCACTTCTTCCTCTGGATAACATAAATGTCTGTTCAAAGTTTAATAGCAATAGTTGTTGAGATATTTCAGTTCAGACCAAAGTGGTGGACCAACGCCAGCCACACCATCGGCTAAAAAAAACGTGTGCATAGGCTGGTGTCTGACACGGATATGAATTGTATATGTACACTGAGTTACACCTTCACTGTGCAGTATAATCCAATACAGCAGCCCTAGTTGTTCACGCCCTACTCCCACATATTCACACCTGGAAGCTGCCCAGAACAGCCACAGTCTGATCGGTCAGCCACTAAGCAGCTCCACCGGGGGACCCCTCGGCGGTGGTTATGAGAGAGGGGCTGCACGTTCACAATCCTGCCAACCGATGACCTTTCGATCAAAAGCTCCCTTCCAATCTTAAGGCCACAACTGTCCAACAAACAGCATGCTGAAACACTACGGATTTCCCAGAGTTCTGGTACGATTCAATCCTGGTCGTTTTGGATTCTGCAGGTAATTGTGGCGTTGTACTGGATTGCACTCAGAGATAGTTGTAATATTCTGACTGCCTCATGCACAGTTTGTAATTAGAGAGGATAAAAACACCCCTGGCATGGTTCACCTGATCTGAGAAAAGTGGATAGCGAACAGCAACATAAAATGGAATAGAAACCAATTAACGGACATCAATCAAGCATCAGCTAAACGTATAATAATGCCAGTATATGTAGATGATAAAGAGAGACTCACAAATTTCTGTACTTGACATAAAATTCCTCTGTCTCCTCTGCTTGGTCCTCTGAAGTCTAGGGAGGGAGAGAAGGAGAGAGACAAATGAAGTAAAGGAGAATTAAATATATGGCGAGCAGCAGGAAAGTAGGTTAGACTGAGGGGGAGAAAACCAAAAGAATGCATTTATAATCCACACAAAATAGTTGATTCATTCATGAAATCGTGCATGTGTTCTTTCTTCTTCACCTCTTTCTTTGCTATTCTGACAGACAGAATTTTCTCAATGATGTTGGCCTCGTCCTCAGGTGGTTCCTGAGGGAGAGAAAGACAGAAAAGATTAGCCCTCGACAAGGATGAAGGTCAGTTCACAGAGAGCGTTCATACAGCAGCAGTGTAATAAAGGCTTCAGCCTGAAAGCATTCGCAGAGGCACCTCACAAATTCTAAATGTGTAGTACACAAAATATTGGCAATAATTATTAGATAATGTCTCATCCTGAGAGGTAATAGTTTGTCCTACATGTTTATACGAATGACACAATACAATTCAAAACTGCAGCCTCTGAAATGACGAAACATTATGACCTTCATAAAGTTAGACTAGTGACAGTGAGTCTTATTTTACCTGCATTTTAAAACTGAGACAAAGTAGCATGTGACAGGAAGTGAAACTGAAGTAAAGAGAGGAGAAAAGGAGGAGAGAAGAACAGAAACAGAGGTAGTATGTGATCTTAATGCACCTCAGCCTGCCAGGCCAGCGCAGTGGCATTGAGCGCTGAGATGCGGCCGGCTCCGAGAACTGCGATCGTCTCCCCATCGTCGTCTACCACCTTAAAGTCCAAATCCTCGTTATACTTCCTCCTCTTGACCTGACGTCCCGAACGCCGCTTCTAAAAAACAGGAGGGAGACAGATGAATGAACAGACAGAAGGAAGAGAGACGCAGATAAGGGAAGAAGAGTTGAGGAAGAATAAGGATGGAGAGGAAACAGAGAAGAGGAAGGAAGACGACCCAGAAGTGGAGAAAATAACACAATGAGGTATTGGGGTGAATTGAGGGGAAAGTGAGAGGAAGAATAGAGGGAAGAGGAAGTGAGACGGAAGGAGGGAAAGAAGAGATATTAGGGTGAAAAGTGTTGACGGAGGAAGGAATTGAGGAGGAAAGGAAGGAATAAAGGAGGGAAGAAATGAAATGATGCACAGATGGAGGAAATCCAGAAAGAAATGTCATGGGAAATTGCTGCTACTTAGTTATTTAACAGAATCTTTGTAACTGAACATGCAGATGAGCTCTTTAACAACACAACACAAGGTCATTAAATGTTGAGTAACATTATGCCTGACGTTATTTATTAAAACAGTTGTGATGCAGAAAAAAAAACCCTGTTTGACATCATAATGTTGACGTTTTCCTGCACTTGAGTCACCCTGTATCAGTGTTTTCCCCACTGCTAAGGACGCTGTTAATGTATGTCAGATTATTAAAGGTCAAATTAATTATGATACCTTGGTATCTCTGAGACGTGAACAACTTGCCTTCTGTTTTATGCCTACAGGAATGTCTCCTCAATTTAAAACACTGCAATTCCCAAAACCCCATCTGCTTCCTGTCACAAAGAGGATGTTTCTACTTGTTACAACATGTTTGAAGTGCTCTCAACATTTTATTCTTTTGGCAATGGTGTAATTTGTTCCCAACAGTAATCGTGTAAGTCTCCTATAAATTCACACTCAATCCATGTAGCCCACAGCCTCCAGGGTCTATCCAGTCTCTCACTCACCGCGTTATCCAGAGGGTCTTGGCTGTCCTCTCCACCCATATTGAGGGCTGACATTGAGGTAGTGTCGTCACTCTCCGCCCCCTCCTGGACAGCCAGCTCCTGGTTTCTCCTCTTTCCCTTCTTCTTCTTCTCCACCGGCGCTGCGCCAGGATCTCTGTGAGGAGAGGAATTCTGATGAGTAATTAGCAGCTCTAGTAGCCTGCAGCAGCGTCATCTCACTCAGCCAGAGGCTGGAAACTCTACCGCTCCCTGAGGATTTGTACAGGGCTGTTTCAGACAGTTATATCTGGTACAAAGAATTTATCCACACTTTGTTCTAATCTTTTCTAGGTACCGTTATTTCCTGATCATCAAGACAAAGGACAATCACTGAGAGCAACCAGCTGGTGAAATGCTGGCCACGAGATTGGAGCACGCTTTGGACCAGAAGGCTGCCGGTTTGAATCCCCAGACTGGTTAAGAAAATCAGAGCAGAGGAGCTGACGGGTCCAAGGAGGTTGTTATGCAATGACTTATTTGCATATCTGCTGCAAAAATCAACTGAAAGACTCTTTTCTTAAAGACAGTGATACGGCAGTTAGTTGGAGCATCTTTAGCTTATGTTATGTGACATATTTCTGAGTGAAACGACTGAGCATTTTAGGAGACGTTTGATCAAATCATTCAGGGCTCTGCCTGCTGGAAAGTGGGTGTGACACAGTGAGCACGAAGAAAACAACAGGGATCTGAAGATAGATATCTCAATTCAATTATAGAGAACTGATTAAGAGGTGGAGAAGGAGGGAGTAAAACCACTTAAACCACAACTGTTCACTTCTGTCAATTTGATAAATAACCAATACGATGTATGTACAAAGGGCCGGAGGGCAAGATTAGTGTGATATTTTTTTAAATAGAAAGCAGAAGGAATTTTGACTATATTAATCATTTTATATTCTTTAACCAAACATATGCCAGGAGATAGCATAAATTGGTGCAAACAAAGAAACAACTTTTGGCTGGATGGGGCCTCTAAGGCTATCGCTAATGGGATCTTAAGCAGGATGCGGCCCCACCACTTCACGAGAAATCAATAACCAGTCCACACCTCACCAATGTGTCGCAGCACATCATAGTGCATCATATGTGCACAGATTGCACCCAGACACCCAATATTTATGGCACAGTCCAAGAAGAGTCCAGCGTGCAGCAGAGCGGGGGAGAAAACAGCTCTCTCCCTGCACCGAGAGGCACTAGGGAGAGCGCCCAGTTAAAGCACCCAAATAACAATCTTCCTGACCAAAACACTCAAGAGTGAGTCATAGAAACACGACATCACGCAGAAAGAAACAAATGAAAGAGCAGGGAGAGGGAATAAATAATTAGAATAGTTATAATTAGAATAAGTTCTCTTTCAAATCAAGCATCTTAAGACTTCAGTACACGTTAAGAACAAATACTACTGGCACCACTACAGAGAACTGCCCATGCACATTTAATATCCAGGAATTCACATTATAGACACTAGTGTTGACCATACACAGTCCAGCCTTATAGGTTTAGACCTAGTCCTGTTACTGTATTTAAATCACACAAGAGCCTGAGCTGTCTGCTAAACTGAAACCAGCTCCCAAAACACACAGGCTTCTGTCCGAGTGTTTTGTTGTCAATTCATACTTTTTTTTAAAACAGGAGACCAACATAGTGTATGACTCAGTTTCCTGAACATGCATTCGACCCATGTTTGACCGCATTCACGAGACTGCTGTCCCTTATAAATCTCACCCAGAGAGACACTGTGTCTGCAACTGCAGTTCCACTCACATCACTGCTAAGCCACAGTATTACTGTCTGTCCCATCAGCCACCACTTACAACATCACATCCACTTTTGTGCACTATAGCATGTATTTATCACAGGTTTTACATCCTTCTTACTCATACTTGAACATATTAAATATGCACATTTTTTTTTACACATTACACACACCCTTTATATAATACATATGAAATACATGTGTAACATAAAATGTGCATATATAATATGTACAAGTATGAGTAAGAAGGATGTAACCCCCCCTTTCCTGTCACTCTTCTGCTACCTCTATCCATTAAAGGCAGAAATATATATACATACAGTATATTATTTTTGTAAAGTCTATTGTATCTTATCTCTTACACATACAACGAATTATATCATATAAAATAAGATATTTCAGTTTCTAATTTGCAATCAGAAAACAGACCTAGAACTAGCAGGAGGCCTTATGTATTAACCTTTCTTCCAGAATGAATTTGTATTAATATATACAGTGACCGATACTTTCAATAAATTAGTTGATGGTAAGAACTTGAAAGACATTAAGCATTTATGTTTTATTAATTGAAATTATTTCAATTATTAAAAAGCTTTTAGTATTTTTACACGAAAAAAAAGCAGGAGTGCCATGTCCCAAAGTGGCATTTACTGTATCCTGCTTATAGACCGCATCCCAATGTCTAATGTCTCTCAGATTACCATAAAGTAGAGGTGGGCAATCTGGGCAATAATATCACAGTCTATTTAATCGCAGTCAGGATCAATCATCTGTTGCTATCTCTTTTCTCAGTTTTGAAATGCCCTTTAGACTACAGCCAGATTTGAAAATTCTCAATTTGAACCATTAAAACAGAAAATTGCATTAGAGATAACAAGGTTATAAAATGGTGATATGGTCAATAGTCAGTGAGGTTATGTGACATTAGGAAACAAAAGTAAGAAGCCATTTAATCTCTACCATTCGCCTGAAAAGAAGATTGTGGAAGCCTTAGATCACGGTCAGATTGCATGAAGCCATTCATTTTAACTTGCAAAGTAAGGGGAACACAATTAGTTTGAAATTCTCTCGCAGTTTATTTTACAAAAAGTAACAACACACAAGTATATGGTAAAAAAAAAAAAAAAAAAACCTAAATGGGCTTATAAAGTCAACAAAGAAAGGAGAAAGGGAGAGAGAAATGACAAAGTACTTAAAGTAACTACTGTATTATCAGGTTATGAATGGAAGAAATAATAATTTGTGCTCACAAATGAGTCACTAGTGCTTCTGAATTACTTTGGTTACTGCAGTGCAAATGACACAATGAAAGATGTCAGGCCATAAGGAATCCAATCTGAATGCGTTGTTTGGGTTTAATGTTTTGATCTGGACAGAGATACAAGGATTTACTTTGGATTTCGCCTGTTAAACACTGTTGTTTTATCTTTAATATCCCTTAAACACACGTTCAAATGTTACATTTATTAAACATTATGCTCTGTTAATCCACGGACAAATCTGATTAATATGAGAGCATCAATTACACATTGAAGGAGACCTGCCAGACTCTGCAGTACAGCACAAAGTGGCTATATCTTTAAGTTGCTATTCATCAGGCTGTATATGGCAGGTTTGGGAAATTAACACCAGGAAATCAGTAATTAACCCTAGCTGATTGATTACTTCCCTCTACAACTGAACTTAGAGTTTGACCATCGATCCCTCAGGAGTCATTCTTCTTTTTAAAAATGAAGCTGGTGTGTGAAGGGCACGTGAGAGCGACTGGTGGATTGAGGACAGCACTGGCTGCTGTGGTCTGAGGATTCACTTTACGATATATATTCTCTCTCTTTCGCACTGAGACTTTGCCAACAGTGAGAAAAAGGACAAAGCAACAGATTCAGATGGAATTAAAGCTGCACCACATGAGGACTTTGTAATCTTCTTGTGAAAAGTGTCATCTGAACAAAGCAAGGCCCGATACCACGGCTGACCTGGAAATGACCCGGAGTCGGCCAAGTTCCTCCTCTCCTTCTGTCTCATCTTTTCTTTCATGTCATTACCTCTGTTTTCATATTCCTCATCCTCAATAAACCCATTTCTCTCTCTCTCTCTCTCTCTTCTCTCTCTTTCACAGCAGTGATTGTGATCTCCCTCTTCTCAATTACCTTCATCAGCGTTTCTTCTCACCCTCTCACACTCATCGGAAACTTTTTTCCTCTCTCTGTCTCTCATCATTTCTTTGTTGCCTTTCTTAATTTCACATCAGTGACTCATATCTTCTCTCTCCTCCATTTATTCATACTTTATTTCTAACGCCTTTCCCTTTGTTCTCTTCCCACAATTTCAGTCATAAAACTCTCTACTACCTCAACTTTACTTCTATTGGAGAATATTGACTTTCTTTCTTTCTTTCATATCCGTCGCCTTTCTCTCTTCCACATTACAGTATCATAACCGCGTCTCAGCTTTGTTCTCTCTCTCTTGACGAAGTCAACCAGAAATATATTTCCAATCCCTCGTCTCTTCAGTCTCTTTGTGAACAGCCACAACACAACGGGTATCCTGCCATAAAGCATCTATAACAGCTATTTCTCTACAATTTATGACGTTCATCTTTTCACAAATGTAATTCAATCTGTTTGTGCCAGAGTGACTTCATGATAGGCATTTACTCGAGAATACGACAGTAATTACAATTATTAGTCTTAGTTTACATACTGTATATTTTCTGTTGTCTCTCAATGGTGGTCGTGTTTGGATTTACAATTTTACTGTGGAGCACAGAAACAACACAGAGACACACACAGGATCTAATTTATAACAATTCACTGACTTAAATAGATTAAAGTCAGAGAAAGTCAGCCACTGTGGTCAGTGAACATTAAATGGTATTCCTTTTATAGAAATGTTTATGTGTTAAAATAAGGTGTGAAACAGGTATTTCAAAATTAACTATTATTGACCTGTTAAAGGTTTAAAAGAAAATAACTCAGACGCTCGAGAGTGGAGGTAAAGTGCAACAAGTAAACCGATAACGCAGTGACTAAAAGAAGTCAGCATTATTGCAGAAATGTTTCGGAGCCTCTCGATCTTTGCTCCGACTTCACAACCTCATAAAGTGCGTTCAGCTGTTCTGAAGTGGGTTGAGAAAAAAACGAAGAAAGGGACAAACTGAAAAAGAGGGAAAAGGGAAGAATGTGTGGAAGACAAAGTGTGGAAGGGGGAGAAACAAAAGAAGAAAGGTACAGAGGAAGACAGACGGGCATGAGAGTGACCATTTGAGGGGGGAAAAGAAAATCTTGCCACCAAAAGATATATTTTCTGTGTTTCTCCAGCAGTATGTCAGTGTGTCTGTTTGTGTTGAAATTATGGATCCCACTTGGGCAGACACGCTGTGACCGCTTTGCCAAAACAGATGGTTGAGTTTAGACATCAGATTTTATTTTAAATATTGCGTTTTGGTATAAGCCTCGAGATGGCTGGGTTTTGGTACGCAGTTAAAAATCTGGATTTAATCGGCATATTGTTATTTTAATTATTTTATTTATATCAGAACATATTGGAAAACTTGACCGGTAATACAGTAATTTCTCACAGTATTCATATAGCTTGCTTTATTCAACCAAATGCCCAAAACACAAAAGATATAAATAATATATAGCATCAAACATTCAAATCTGAGAAACTGCAATCAGTTGGCAGGCAATTTTGTCTTAAAATTATGAATCAGTTGTGAAAATAGTTGCTAATTTATTTTCTGCCAATCAACTAATCCACTCATCACTGCAGCTCTAATAACTGGTTACATAAACTGCTGAGGTTAAGGTTAGAATAATAATGTGTGTGCACCCCCGAACACAGAGCGACAGGGCTGTCCACTCTGATTAGAAAAGTGTGTCAAAAATCCCTACGCATTTTCATCAGATATCTACACTGTGTGTGTCTCTGCGTGAGGGAGGGGCAGTGACGGAGTCATACAGGACCACTTGTGTTTGAGGTGCTTTAATAACGGAAAAGGATGCGGGCGAAAAGTTTTTTTCTGTTTTGTTCCTGCCAATTTCCAGGCCCCTCAGAGTAGCCATCATCTATTTGTTTGTTCATCCATCACATGCAACATCTCAGATCCAATTTCCAAAAACTGAGGAGCCAATTCATTCTTGCACATTTCCAAAATCACAAGCTCCAAGCTTCATTCTCACGGCTCATTTTGCTAAAGTACCACACTGTGTATCCATGTCGTCCTGGGTCTGAATAAGACTGATCACATCTTTTCTGACTCTCCAATAAAGCACAAAAAAGCCAAAATATAGCCTTTAAGTGAAATGCTTGTTACCCAGCTGCCCAGAGAAGAACTGCATAATTTGTTGCAGATGACAGGTTTACTGCCGCCCTGCTCTTTCTTGCTTGCTTTACTTCGTCAGTGTCTGCTTCTTGGGGTTTTTCTAGCACAGCGTCTTTCACTTTCTTTCTTCTAAATCCTTTCCCACTCTGCCTTCCTCTCGCTCTCTTATAAATCTCTCTCTCTTCCCATCAATTCCCAGCCAGTCAGAATGTCTTACCTGGGTTTGCGGCCCCTCTGTTTTGGCGCTGAGGGGACTGGGGTCTTGCTGTTGGCCCGACCATGGTTCTTGCCATGGACCTGCCCTGCGACCTTAGAGTGGAGGCCAGGGGTAGGAGGAGGTGCTGTTGGAGGACAGGGGAGAGAAAGGAGGACATGATGAAGATATTCTTTACGGTTTGGTCACACTTTGAACATAACTTTAGCCCTTCTAAAAAGTTCAGAACCCCACTGAACAAGCCAGCCAGGTAGGTAGGCAGGTAGCATGTGCAACATTAAGCTGAATAAATCAAATAAAGGATGTTAGTTTCTGTGTCTATGTACTGTGTTTATTTACAGCTGCTAGAAAGCTGTTAAAGAATTGACATTAGCACCTGATATAACAGGTCATAACTAGCTAATTCCCGGAGCAACTTTTATTGTGAAAAGCAAATTTAAAAAAAAAAAAAACTTTTATTGTGAAATTAAAAGTTCTATAGAAAGTCCAATAAACGTATCATTAAAACATTTTAATATATTTTATTACGTTACGTTATTGTTTTCTACAATTTATTAATGTGATTATTGATCACATGAATAAACTGATTACTGATTATTTACTCTTGTCATAGGGAAGAAAACCTTTACACAGTCCACATTTCATTCATTGTTTTTTAACTGATGTAAAAATATGTTTATTTCATATATATATTTCATTATTCTACATGTTTGACAGACATTCAGCATCATCTAGGTTCATGATGAATGGCGTCTTCAAAACATGCATCAACTCTATTTCTGTTTTTCAGCTTTAAAAGGGTGCTAATGCACCCACCCACACCTATGTGCACACACACAAGCAGGCATACTCAGCCTTAATTAAATCCAGCAATCACATTCTAATAAGCTTAATTAATCCTGACATGTCTGATCATGATTTAAGAACATTTAAGAACAGAACCGTCATCATCTGTACCTTCCAATTAGTGCTCAAATATTCCAGCTCCAATGCTTGATGGGAGATGACATGTTGGACATTTTTCTTTGGTTGTTTAGTTTAGGGATGTCACGAGAACCGATACTTCGATAGCTAGTCGATGCAAATATTCTGAAAACGTGATGTTTTTCTACAGTACTGTACAAGCTCGACCACTACATTTCTAGTATCGTGACATCCCTAGTTGACTCACGCACAGGGACGGACACGGACACAGACACACAGACACACACAGACACACACACAGACACACACACACAGACACACAGACACACACACACCTGATGTACTACCAAAAGTTTATCTGAATTAAATGTACTAAAGATTGAAATGGTTGAACCTGGTTTAGGGGCATTTAAGGATACAACAAACATTGTTACTGTCACATGACTGAAGTAATCCGGCTGTATCTAAGAAAATAGTGACTACTTTCATTCATTGATATTATTCCTGAAACAACTGCTTGAGTATAACTATGTAGAAAGGATAAATAGTGTGAAAACCCCTTTAATACACAGGATATCATGACAGATCTATACCTTTAATAGCAGCTCTGTTACTGTGAATTGGTTTGTCTCTTCATTTTTAATTAATGGATTAATTCAGTGATTCCCAACCAGGAATATGTGTACCCCAGTTACCAGGGGGTACATGGAAAGATTGTGTAACTCAACTAATTTGACAAAAGATAAATTACATTTTAATTAAAAATACATACATATATCAACATATTGAGTCAGCTCTTACACCCGAACACCAGGTGTTAGAGATGAAGAGTGCATGAAAACTAGTAAGTGAGCAGAGAAATCTAAACTGTTAGCAAAAACCGGATAAATCGCTGACACATCCAGCTTGTGCCACAAGTAGGAGGCTGCAAATGCAAAGTTAAAACTAAAACTGACAGTAGGAAAAAAAATATACTAATATTATCCACTTTTATATAGTCAATAGTGTTAAATAACATCCAGTTTAAATGGAACATCAATAGTGCTGATAAAGGGGTATTCGAGTTCATCTGACTGGAATGTGGGGGCACGTCCACCTCTGGATTATTTGATTAATTAAAATTGTGAAACCTGGCCTTCGTAAACCCCCTCTAAATTTAAAGGTTATGAAACAGAGAAACCCAGTAAACCCTCACGTTTGAGAACAGTGAACCAGTGAATAGTTGTCATCCTGTCGATGAATGACAAACGATTAACCCAAATGAACATCATAACGTCCTCCCACACAACCCCCTTCTACTCCAACACACACAACCACTTAAAAGCCATCACCGAGGCCCAGCACAAACACTGATAACACACTGCAGGCACTGTGACTGTGTACCTTGATTCGTGGGTACAGGAGGTAGGACTTTGACCTTCGGTTTTCTTCCTCTTTTGCCGGGCACCTTAACAGGCACCTGAGCTGGTCCGGGGGCCACTGCGGCCCCTGCCGCTTTCCCCCCTGCCACATTCTTCAGCTCTGTCCCGCTCCCTTTCCTGCCCTCCTTCCCCTTGGTCCTACGATCCTTTCGCTCCTTGCCTTCCTTGGGCTCCTTGCCCTTCCTCAGTGTGACCACCGTCACCTCCTTCTCCTCCTTTCGTTTCTTTGGTTTGCTGCTTTCGGTTTCCCCCACGTCCCCACCTCCTTTCTCCCGTTCTCTCTTGTCCTTTTTCTTCCGTTTCTTCTTCACCCTTCCTCCTCCTCCTCCATCGTCCTCCTCGCTCAGGGAGGAAGGAGGTCGCGGGGCTCCTCCGGAGTGCTTAGCGGCGTGGGCCCCGGCCACCGCGCAGTGATTGGACGTCGCCGTGCTGCCCACGGGGGTGAGGAGGCGGAGCTGGTCCTTGGGGCCCACGACCAGGTGTCCCCGTGGGATTGTGGGAAGTGTGGTTTGTGCCTTGCTGTTTTGGTCCGAGGCAGAGGAGGAGGCTGCTGCAGCGGAGGCCGAAGGTGGCGTGTGCTTCAGGAGGCCAGTGAACATCTGAAACAGAAGCATCATAAATTAAGTTTAGAATGATCATAGTGTTCTCGTAGTTAGCTCTACTTTACCAGGAGCTTTACCCCCTTTTTGCTCTCATGTTTTACTCCCTGTCTCTCAAGGGTCAAGCCAGAAATCTTGCCCTTATCTCTGACACAGATTTAATCTAGTACTTACTACCTTCTAAAGAATATTGCTAAAATCAAAAGATTAACGCCCAAGCAAGATGTAGACAATCTTATCCACGCCTTTATTTACAGGAAATTTAATTACTGAAATCATCTGTTCATAGAGCTTTCAAAAAAAGCTCTTTGTCAACTCCAACTTATTCAGAACACCGCTGCCAGGGTCCTCACAAAAACTAGGATATACGACCGGTTCTAAAACCCTCACACCGGCCACCTGTCACTCCTCAAAATCTTGCTGCTTGTCTACAAATCACTCCGTGCCTCCAGGCCCAAAAGGCATCGCCAATATGCTCGTACCATATGAACCTCCTGGAACCCTTAGGACATCTGGGCCTAGCCTACTGGTTGTCCCAAGAGTCGGAAAACAAAAAACAGTGAATCAGCATTCTGTTGTCATTCAACACAGACCTGAAATAACCCCCCAGGTAATATCAGACAACCCCTATTCTCACCACTATTAAAGTCTAAGCTAAGAAACTTTAGGATTTTACACTGCTTGCTCTAAATGTAAGAATATGTGCGGTGTTCTTTTATGTTTTCATTTTCAATTGATTTAAGCTGAACTGGTTTACTAATAAATTATGTATCTCTTGTATCACTTGCCTGTACTTTGGCACCTTTTAAATTGGAAATATTTTGCCTTTGCTGTGCATTTTATTACCCTTTAAAGCACACTGAATTACCTCTGGTGTATGAAATGCGTAACACAAATAATGTTGGCTTGCCTTTCACATTAAAAGCTTTCCAGCTGCTATAAAAAGGGCCTAACCCCTCCCTTTCCTGGTAGCCTTTTAATGTGAAACATCTGCAGGAAGTGTTGCGTTTCCTTGAGTCAGAACACTGACTGAAGAAAATGGCAAAGTGAATAGGAATTAATTAGTGAATGAAAAACAGCATTTCTGTTAGAGAGAGAAAAGTAACAGAGTGGTGAGAATGACACGACTCTTGTTGTTGCACTAATGGAATTAATGCGGTGGAAATTTTCAGTGTGAGTCATAATATCAGTAATTCCACCCTCACTCAATGTTTTTTACCCTGAATACTGACCAGCTTGTATTTGTTTATTATTATTATTATTATTATTATTATTATTCGGTATTAACAATGGATCCAAAGGCACTCACACAGAGAGTTGTCACCTGACTCAGCAGTTCCCGTCAGCTCTGTGGAGCTTTTGGCATTTCAGTTCACTGTTTTGGTTTTTTACTAGCTCACTCACTGTTTTGGTTCAATCTCAGGCAGCATAATTTAGCTGAGAAAGCTCTTAAAAAAAAAAAACAACTGTACGCTTCTCGCCCAGCACCAGACAGCAGACAGATTAATTTAGCAATTAGCTGGCGAACACACTGGAGCATGTAGCAGCTAAGGAACCAGACATTTTTAGCAGAGACCCTAACAGAGCTGAGTGTAATAATTGGAGTAATGAACATACAATAGGTGGCCAGGAACACGACTGCAGTTAAATGCTAATGTTGATCTGTGTCTGCTGGATGTGTAAATTGGCAAACCGTTTGCTAACATGTTTGCCGTATTATCTCCATAAGGTGATAATGTGTCAATGTGGGGTTAACAGCTTGTTAGCCTGCCCCCAAGTGACCCAAAAAACCCTAATGCTGGTTTAATCAGTGTTTCTGTACACTCCTCAGTTGCAGCATCCTTCCTAACCCATACTCCACAGTTGTATATAAAATATACTGCTAATGCCCTTTATTGAAAATGAAAATATTGGATGCAAGAACTCTGGGGAAATCCCTTTTTATCATTATAGAGACAGAAGGAGGTAAATATGGGACACTGTGGAGGGACTGATATTCCTCTGGTTGTACATATAAGAACAGATAAAGGCACAGTTAGAGAGAGAAAGGATAGCATTTGGGAGAGAAGGAGAAAAAACTAGTCATAAGAGGAGAAAAAGAGTGAGAGAAAGAAGGAGAAAGTCAGAAAAACACGGAGGATGAGAAAGAGGATTAGGATGATGCAATTTTTTCTACCTTATCAAGGATTTAATGACTAATAGTCAGTACACACTGAAACGTGGGGGGAAAAAAATCATAAAAATCATGCGTGTCCATCATACTGAGCACATGCTGCTTCATGTGCGAATCATGCTGTGACCAAAAACTTTACATGCAGAAAATTCTCCCAGAAACCTCGGGATGTTACAGCTTTTAGGTTCACATCGGAAACAGCTGAAAAAAGACACCCCGGGTATTAATACTATTAAATCATCTGCTATATTTCACCAAACCATAATCACAGAGGCCAGGCTGGCAGGTTGGGGGGGGGGGACGACAGGTCGAATACACTTATGTTTCCGGTAAGTTTGTGTTGGCTCTGGCTGATGATTCAACGTCTCCTCGCAGTGCAGCCGGTGTGACACAGTGGAGGAGTGGTGCTCTACACCAGCGCTGCTACCATGTGACTGAGCTCAAAGTGTTTTAGATGAATCCAGTAAAGGACAGACCCCCCCCCTCCCGCCCAGCCAACATATACTAAAAGTCCTCAAGGGAGTTAAGAAGAGATATTACTGCCCCCCGGTCAGCATGCTGTTGTTTTTTTTATCCATTACCAAAAAATAAAAACTGAAACATGAAACGTATCACTTCCTGTATAGCAGAGACATTTTCCCAGAAAAAGCCTTGTGCCTAGAATAGTAAATGTTGTTGCTGAAGACTTTAGACAAGATGAAGGCCAACTGTGAGCCTGTCAACTGTGTCATATCGTTCTGAGGCCAGTTTATAGACATCACCATTAATCACAATATGACTGCATGAAGAGCGTAACTCTTCAGCAGTGTTGGGCAGGTTACTGATTCCTGATCAGTAATCAGTTACAGTTACTTTGCACAAAAGTAATTGAACAATTACTTAGTTATAAAATCTCTTACTAATGCATGCATGTGTTATTCTAGTGTTGTTGCCTTCTGGTGGTCTAATAAATAAATACTTTTCTTGTCCCACAGCAGTGGAAGACTTTGTAGAAGACCAACATGGATGTAGACATTAACCAAGCTTTGCTACAGTAAATAATAATATTTGATGAACGGAAAGCAAGCTCACATTGCCTGAACTGTCCTGGGCCACAGTAAGGTCGGGGGATGGTAGATGATGAACCATAGAAACCAAGGGGAAACGCTCGGATACGCTGTGTTTGTTGTCCACTGCTTTCAAGTAAGACATTTAAATTTCAGTTACTTTTATTCCATTTCCAATCCATTTGAAAACATAATTCGGCACTAGTAGTGGAAAAGTAGTGGAATTACAGTCTAAATAGATTAACAGGGAATGTGTGGTTGGGCACTTACACTGTGTGTGTCACAACTTCCTACCATAGGAGAGTTTGGTTCCTAAATGTCTTGATCATTTTGATCCCTTGTGCAGGAACACCACTAGCACCACACGTCTTCTGCCTGCTTCGACATAAAAGCTTAAAAAGATCAAAACAGTCTTGGAGATACTTCTAGCACGCTTGAGATACTTCAATCTACTTCATCCATCACTTTAAGGATGACCAAACTCTATTTTGGCGTGCATTTTTCCGTTTGTACACACAAAGACGCCACGGTAGGCCCGAGACGCTGGGAGAGTCAAAGCATGCTCTGGGCAGGCTGTGACATCACTGTTTCCACCTTCCTCATCCTGAAACCATTGAACCACAGTATCCAACCTCCATTACCCTAAACTCCTCCAAAGTGCTTCAGCAGCACAGCGTTCTTCCGTTCTCCCTACAGATGCAAAAGTCATACAGACGATACAACGCTTTCTCTAGTGCTGCTTTCCTGTTGCATCATCTCCATGAGGAAACTCCTGCAGTAGCGCCGTAGATGTAAGATGGGGGATTTCCACCATGGCTACGTCTGTAACACTAATGTAGGATAGTTACAGACTAAGGGAACTTGAGTTTCTTCCCATCCACCTCTGATTTTTACACCAGGTTGTCAGCTCAAAGACATTAGGTGGGAAGCAGAGCTTAAGTACTAGATATTATGTGCTAGATATTATAATAAGTCTCTGGTATGTGCATAAATACTTGCAACCATAAATATTCATGACTGGTAGGTGGACCTCAAGGTCAGCGTAGCATGTGGGAAAATAGCACTATCCATTTAAATCAAAAATGCAGAGATGCTTCAATATCCATTGGTGACTTTTTGTCACGTACACCAAGATTGCAATTCCACGAGGTTAAATACAGCTTGTAATGATTTCTGTAGAATCTGAATCAGGAGTTTTTGAACCATTGCATTCACTGATGTACTGCAGGCCGCATCCAAAACAGACTGCAGTGGCACATCGCTAAAATTCAGCATGAAGCCAATTTTCATCACTTCTCCTGTATTATTATAGCCACTTAAATTCCTGCCACAGTAACAGCTTTTTGGATATGCAAGTTAGACTCTGCAGTCAGATCAACGCCCCATGCCGAGGCCTGACTCAACCCACCGTTTGTGATGCTTCACCAACAACTGGAGTTAAAGAGGTCTTTAGCATTACACAGAAAAATAACAGGCAGTAAACAACTTCTAATTTAATAACTTGCTCCAGAATAACAGCCCGACCGACGTCGCTACCAATATTCAAATATGAAAACCAATAAAATAAATCTGATATATAATGTGATCCAAGCACCACCACTACAGGCTATCAAATTACTCTTCTACTCTTTTCACAAAAATAGGCGTTTCTGCCAAGCCACTACATTGGATTGCATTAGATTGTACATATACAGCTTATAAACTAATGCCCTAATCAAAAATAAATAAAATACAATGACTACCTTATGAAATAAAGCTTAAATTCTGAGTTCTCCAATATT